CGAATTTCGGAGACCACAACAGCAGCAGGACTACCCGCGGCAATGGAGGCTTGTCCGCGGTTCCAAACACGCTTTACGGTGCGCTGGTGGCAGTGGAACATCTGCGCGACCTCTCGGAAGGCCGTGTGATGGAGTTTGCCTTCTATCGACAAGGCTAGTAGCCGTTCATAGACTCCGCGCCGCTCGAGGTCAGTCAGGTTTGACCGACCCCGCGACGAGTCTGTACAGGTCGTGCCGTGGGGGCGACTGGCCCGGGGCATGCGCAATGTAAAGAAAAGAGTGGAGACGCGAGCACAAGGCGTAGAGTTGTGTTATGAAAGACTGGCGTAAGTTTTCGTGTTTTTCCCGCCGTGGTCGTTGAGTGTAAGTAGCGATATCTCGGCGACGAAAACTCGGATTTGAGTGGTTAAAAGCACCAATCAAAGCCAAGATAACGCGCCGTCGATCTGTCCAATCAGCGTAGGCAGCAATGCAGTTTTAGAAAAATTCCGCCAATAAAACGGTAAAGTGGACAGTCATTACGGACCAGAGTAGTACAGTTTTTTAACCCGTAACCCTGTAACCAGGAAACCCGGACACGCCGTCCCTATATCTCAAATGACCATAGCCTATTCCCAGGGTTAAGCTGAATCACCAGTGGTTAGCTATCGCTAACCACTGTCAATCAACTTAACCCTTAGAGCATCTCCACTCGTCAGACTTAAAGGCCTGAATAATTCGGATAACCCTTAGATAGGACCAATTTTGGACTTATACTCCCACCTGTTGGTTTTATCGGGGTCTCAGTAAGTCCAAACATAAGATCAGCACCGAAAATCCCTATCATAGGACTTTTTCGTCAAGATATCACCCTCCAGACCTATCCTAGCCGGAAGTGTACTATAATCTAAAATAATATACAAAAGTACTGCTCAACATAGTCAAATACAGTACAGCATGCAATCTTTATAATAATTCCCATTCAATTTACACTGATGGCCAACGAAGGCACACCTTGCCGGATAAAAGCACCCGTAGGCTCTAGCGCACCCCCTATGCTATAAATGTTAACGAGTTCGGTCTGTAATGGAATGCGACGGGTCGCGGAAGATGTAAATGCACTCATTGCTATCACTTTCACAGTCCCTGTTCGTCCCGTGCATCTAAGTCTGACGGATGGGGAAAATGAAACTTATCACTGGAATCAGCTTAAGTCCCTCATTTATCCGAATATTATCCGTATAAAGCCTGGTCAAAAGTCCCAACCGGTGGAGATGCTCTTAGCACGGCTTTGTAGTAATCATGGGGGACTGGTAACGTGAAAAACAGACTGGAAGTCGCGAAACGGAGTACCGTCCGTGTCCTAGTGAGTCTGGATTTGACCTCATTGCCGCCGTCAAAAACGTAAAATATCAAGTGCGAGCTGCAATGAATGTCAGACATGAGAACCGACAACATTCGGCCCCGTGATTGGATGACCGACAAGTGATTGAACTCCGATTGGTCAGTATTTTTTCCGATAATCCGATTGGATGAGGCGGTTGTCGTAGCAGCAACCATCACTAACATTTACCATGTACGGCATTCTATTGGTCGAAATACTGTCAAGCCGACATTGCACTCGAAAATGGAATTGATCAGCACAAATACAACGGCAAGCCGAGCCAGTAGGGGTACTGCTGTGGTCGATGGCAGTCAGCCAGCGCCCCACCATAATGCATAGGGACCATTGTCGTGGCCCCTTGTGTAGCCCATTCCACAAAATACATTTTAGAGCCTGGTCTGCGAACGTTTTGTTCCAGCTTTTGGGCATTTTACGAAATCAATTTCATTGACTAGAATTATCCGTAATCCGTATATTGATCCAGCTTTTCGCTTGGTCAAAGATTCACCATCCCAGCTTCGTACCAGTCATCCCGACTTTTTAATCTGGTTTGCAATCCACGGCAGCGATGTCTACGATGAAGATGCTACAGTGCCGCAAGTGCAGCCAGGTGGTTATGTTATCTACGTATACTACAACACACTCAATCAATATTAGATGCGTCGACACCGAACGCTAAGCCGAACAAGCGCAAGGGCAAGTCGCCTTCATCGGCCGTCAAACGATCAGTGCGCTGGGACGACGAAAGTGCGCCTGCGCTACAAGTTGCATTTCACGGCAAGGTTCGACTCGAAGAACTTCCAACGCCTGGCCATGACTGCTCGCTTTCGAGACTCTTGCGCGCTTCTTCCGTAGCTCCGGTGGTTTGTCGCTGTCGTAGTCCGGGTTACTTGAGATCGAAAAAAAGGATTTCAGCTGAATCGCTGAAGTCCACTGATGCGATATTCGACGACGGCAACAATTCCTCACAAGGTAGAAATATTGTACTAATATATGTGATATGTATTCGAAACATTGTTGACTTGTGAAAATATTTGTTGCATAGATGTTATAGTAAAACGCGAGGTCAGTTCGGACACGGACTACAACAGCGACAATCCACCGGAGCGTCGGAAGAAGCGCGCAAGAGTCTTGAAAGCGAGCACTCGTGTTGAGGCGTTGGAAGCTGGGTTCTTAGCTATAAAGGAAGGTTTGATGCACTTGGGAACATCAGGTGCGGCACCATTCCCGCCGCCCCAACCTGCACCTGGTGCTACACTAGATGATCTATTACGTGCAATTCAGGGACAATACGACACCATGGCGCAGCTCCTCGCTCATTTAGTTGCGCGCAAGTAAAGTGCTAATGAATGTCAAATTGATTGCACAATATTATTTTTGTTAACTCAAATACTAGCAATTCCACGACGTTTCAACTCTGCAGCTCGGCGAATGAGAGGACTAGTTTCAGTTTCACTGGGATCAGCAGGTTGAAAGTACAAGTTTCTATCGCGCCGGGGGCACGGCGCAGAAAAGAGTTCGTCATTGAAATGAATCAACATATTGTGCAATACATAATAACACGTAGTGACCACAACAGTTTGGTCGAGAGATTTTTCGTTCATCACGGTTTTCAGAATTCGAAATCGCACTTTCAATCGGCCAAATGCATATTCAACTACCATTCGAGTGCTCGACAATCAATAATTGAATTGTTTTTGCACTTCAACACTCCACCTTCCATATGCGGCAAGTATGGGGTCAACAGCCAAGGGAGTAACGTGTATCCAGAATCACCAAGTAGGAAACATCCAGTAGGCAAAACACGTCGAATACAGTACTCTGGCCAACTAATGATACTTTCCAAATATTTTTATCGGAAAATGAACCGTGTCCAATATCCACAGACCTAAACACCATTCTCGAATCAACAATTGCTTGTACGTTTAGTGATGGATCGCCATTAAATTGTAAAAACCGTCGTACACTTTTGGTCGCAGAATATCAATCAGGTGTGCCATCAACCAGTGGTACAAACGAATAAATTGAAGCGATGACTCGCGCATCCGGCAATCGAGTTGCAGGGAGAAGCATCAAATTGAGATAGGGAAGTGTATTAAGGATGGCATTTCATAATATGAGAACACAAGTTCGTGTACCCACTCGACTTTTGAGAGCGCTGTTGCCCACACTTACACTTCCACACAGTTGGGTCATCGGTCCGTTGGAAAAAGACCTCGGCGAGCGCCTTCCCACTAAGGGGTTTGGTTGGATGGGTCACGGTTGAAATCAAGAGCAAGTGAGGTGTCATTGACGAAAAAGACTAATACACCAAGACTTAGCCATTCCAAATGCAGCCGAGGTTTCACGGTAACCACCCTCAGAACCCAAAAAGAATTGAAACACAGCAACCTTCTTTTCAAAGGAGTGCATCGAACGACGCCTACATTATTTTGGCATGCGTTGGCGAAGCCACACAAGTATCTTACAGAACGCTTGCTGGTCACAGCGAAGGTTGTCACAAAACCATCAATTGTATCGAGGGTCACTAAGCATTTCATCAAAGTTGACATTCGTAATCGTCAGTAGGTTGTACTTACTAACCGTCGAGCTAGTGCTCGTAGCCACCGAAATACACACGGCGCATACAACAGCAGCAACAACACCTTTCAATCGATTCATTGCACTCGCAACCATTCAAAAGCTGGAATGCCAAAAGCTGGAATGGTTGGCAAACCAGGTTTGAGGGCACAATCCGAATAAACTTTATCCGTAAAAGCTGGAATGCCCAAAAGCTGGGACAAAGCGTTCGCATATCAGGCTCTTAAAACGTATGAATGCGGCTAAGAGTATTGGTTGTGCTTTAGGTACTATTAATAGTATACGTTTAGGTCCTCGATTGAACGCCAACACCATCTTACCTCCAGTAGTGATTCAAACTGCCCCTCATTCAACAAATGACCCTAACCACGTTCTCCACCTCTGCATCGCTATTTACTTTCGCAACGTGAACCACCGTACGTGTTAGCATCTGCGCAGTACACTAACAGTAAATAATGAATTTTTCAATACAACTAACGCTACTAAGTATGATCACTTATATTGTTGCGAGCGACCTCACGGATATCAATATACACGACGTGAAGCTCATCACACAGCTGATTGAGACAATGGAATGTAATTACCAGCTCACAAACCTATTCTATGGCGGCAAACTCGTGCATCAGTTAGCTATCAATGTAAAATCTAGTAGTGCACAAGTACTTGTGCGGTAGGGTTCAGTACAGTGAATGGTGATGTTGCAATGTCCACAGGAGTGTTTTACTGTACTTTGGTGTCATTGGCGAGCAAGGACCGAGGTAAGTACGCCTGGTGAATAGCTTGTGTTGCGCAAATCAAAGTAACCAAGGTAATTCCTCCACATAATACTAGTACGTGCACTGTAGTCCACCCACCAGCAAAAACGACGATGTATATTGGCGTTTATTCGCGTTTATCAGCTAGCTAAGGCATTTTTTGCGCCTATAGCTAGCGGACTTCGCATACGTCGGACGTTATACGTCTGAGTGCTGGGGGATGGTGGGGTATGCGGCGATGATCTGCTCTGTCAGCACCTTCGACCAAATCTTGTTCGCTGTGGTGGAGCGGAGGGCCTGCTGGTCGGCGAGGCACGTGAGGCGCTGGAGCTCGTCGGAGACAGTCTTGATCAGTACGCGATGCCATTGGGCAACTATAGATACTGCATCGGTTACACCGCAACTACTCTGGTTATCCCATTGTTCAAAATGGAAAGCGTCCCAACCAAGCAAACCACCCAGGACTCGTTCCGCGGAGCGTCAACACGACGAACATACTCTACATACCAGAGACAGTTCCAAGAGTTATGCGTGTCAGATAAGCACGAAATTGACACTGCAGCAGCAACGACAGATGATTGCACCGACTTCTTTCACCACCTTTACTCGCTTGGACGCAAACCACGTACCATCGACTCAGCCAAAACTGCATTTGTCGCCTACTTCACGGAGCAACATGTTAAACCTAACCCTGCCCCAGCGCCACTATCCAAACAATACGTCGTTGGAGTTCAAAAGTATAATCGGCAAAACAACGTCCATGACGAGAAGAAGGCTCACCCACTGACAACCGATGAGCTATCAACTGTCGTCAATGGATTTGCCAGGCATTACCCATTTGTTAGGGTTATGTTCCGCTGCTTGTTCTCCTACCGTTACTTGGGCAGCTTCCGTGAAATGTTGGGGCTGAAGTGGGGTGACTTCGCCTTGGGAAAGTCAGCACATGGTGCTTTTGTCTCTGTTCGGCTCCGTTGGCACAATAGGCGTGTGTCGAAAAAGAATGCCAGGTATATCACCAAATCAATGAGGACTCATACCCTTGTTTGCGCATATGTGGGTTTTACGAGGACTACGTTGAGATGGTTCCGGCAACATTGCTGCAGACGTCAAGGGAGGCATTTTTTTCCACTCTTGTAGCGATGCTGCAAAGCGGAAACGTGAAAGTGAACAGGTTCAAGGCACTCGAGCAGAACTTTGTGCGCCGACAGCTCAACGATATTGATGAATCCTCAACGATATTGATGAATCCTGCCCTGGATTACCGGTAGGGATTTCATTGCACAGCATGCGGCGCGGCGGTTGCTTCTACCGCGTCTTTGAGTCACCTGAGCGGTGTTTTGACTTCCGAGAGCTCATGGCCTGGTGTTGGTGATGCGAAGATTTGTTGCGAGTACCTTGTCACGAGGACTTTGAGCAATGCCATTGATGAACCTCGTTTCCTGTTGGAGAAACGGCCACACGTTCCAAGTGGCTTGCAAGGCAAGAATCTTGGAGAGCAGCTCACGGCGGACTTCACTGCTGCCGCAGTGATGGCGTGGAATCAGTCGTACCACAAGTGCACCTCCAGTGGCGAAGCGGCAACAGACAATGCAAGAGTTCACAGTGCCAAAGATCATTCCAACTGCTCATTCAGGGAAGGAAGCCTGGGAGCAATGGGTTTTAGTAGATCCCAAGCGTCGCATGTACTGTGCGGCACAGTACGCTCGAATAATCAAGAGCGACCGCCGTAAGTACTCAGAGCGCCAAACGCTTGCGATTGCATTCAACATACATTAGAGTTATTCTCAATTTTGAGATTGAGTACGCTGGTCATGCAGATTCGTACTGGGGTTTGGTTCAAGAGATTAGAAAGAGAATGCGTGAAAACAGGTTGTAAATTGAAATTGAACACAATCCATTCATCTGGCAGACTTACCTCGGTCCTTGCTCGCCAAATACACCAAAATACAATCTTGTGGACATCGCAGCGTGACCACTCACTATAAAAATCCCAACAGTACTGCTGGTGTACGTGTGTACTGCTAGATTTCACATTGAAATGAAATGAAATTACGCGGTATTTACAAGCTCACTATCGCTTGTGCGCGCATGTACAGTAATGACTGCAAACTAGACTAGTCTAGCGTATGGAGCTTGTGCACGTTCACACCGGGGCGATCCGCGCAGCTAGATTTTACATTGATAACCGACTGCTGCACGAGCTTGCCTCCGTAGAATACAGTAGGTTTGTGAGCTGGCAACTACTTCCCATCGTCTCAATCACCTCAGTGATGAGCTTCACTTCGTGTTTTGTGATACCCCTCAGGTAGCTCGCAACTATTTAAGTGATATTAGCAGTTCTACAGGTAGTACTGAACACATGATTATTTAGTGTTGTGGTCAAAGGGGAGGCACACAGTGAAGGGAGGTCACACAGTGTTTACAAGCATTCTCACTGCGCATGCTAACACGTACGGTGGATCACGTTGCCAAAGTAAATGGAGATGCAGAGGTAGAGAACTTGGTTAGTGCCATTTGTTGAATGAGTGGGCAGTTGTAACGGATCGATTTTCTGAACGACATCTAATTCCTGGACAAATCAATTATCTACCAATCAGACTAATCAATTATCTACCAATCAGGATGTCGCATTAGAAGTTGATCGTATGCGATTGGATATGATAATATTCAAACACATAATTTTTTACAATTGGTCATGAAGAGCCTTGTCGAATTTTTATTCGACACGAACAATAAAATTTCCCCCTCGAAGTGACGACTAATTCCCCCACAACAGGGGGTGCCTACCTTCAAAATTCCCCAGACCTACCTTCTTTGGGGGAATTTTGGAATAACGGATATTCGTCCGGATAATCTAATTTCTTGCACAGATAAGAACGTTAGCCTCCACCAACGGTATAAACCATTTCTGTTATGAGTGCGAAGACGAACAAGATCAAGTGCATGGTGGGTTTCATCACTTCGTACACGCTCTTTCCAAGCCACGTTTAGGCAAAGCACAAACATGTTCCGGAACATCGGAACATACGTAAGATGTGGGGATGCGAACTAAACGATAATGGTGAAATGCCGATGCCCGGGCCGTCCACAAAGTGCAACGACGCCAAGCCCATGTTTGACCCCCCAGGAACGCGAAGCCTGATCAACCAAGCAGATCACGACATTGCAATGCAGCTACCCAAGAACAATGGAGTTGGCGTGAGGACGCTTCGGCTGTTGCTATTCGTTTCTCGCAAGCTGGGCAGCAATCCAAATGACCTGTTGCAACCATTTTTGGGGTACCGTGATGACGATTCGGGCGACTTCGACGATGGCGAGCAGCCTTCTGGTGACGATTACGGCGTGGACGGCGACGACAACGAACAGGGCGAGTTAGTACCCCCTATGACATTCGAGACATGGTCGCCACAGTCGAAGAAATCCTCGAAGCGGTTCGGCGCGTACAGTGCGGCGAGTCGAAAGCAGCGGTCGTACGAAGTTCAGCTGTTACCAGAACTACTTTGTTCCATTGCATCAAAATGGTGAAGGAGCACGGAACGATAAAAAACGACAAGCGTGGTCCAAGCAAGTTCTCCCTGCCACGATCGAGGACGACATTGTTGAGTGGATATAGTAATCAACAAGGCAGGACACATACTGTCGATCCAAGCAGGTTTTCCACGAAGCGTGACCCGCGGATGGTATCAAAAGTTTCGCACCCGAAATCCGATTCTGCTGTCGCGAATGGCACACCTGCTGTCGAAGGGTCGCAACATAATGAACAAGGAAGGTATCATCTCGTACTTTAATTTGTTAATTCGAGCTTGCATTCGGTTTGAATGTGACGCCAGCGATGTATACAACATTAATGAAACGAGTTTCAAGACCAAGAACCAATCGAAGAAGTTTGTTGCAATTCGCGGGTCGAGAAGCGTGTGGGTCGAAGAAAAGACGGGGGCATATCACCTCACTATCGTCATCACTGCAGCCGCTAAGGAGAACTCGTCCCGCCGGCCATTATCTTACCTGGGGTGACCTGTGAAACGAGCGTGATGGATGACTGTCCCGTCGATGGCACGGTGGTCACAACAGCTCCCAAGGCCTTTATGAGCGCAGCGATCTTCAACATCTGGCTTGTGTAATTGGGAGAGAGGAAACTCATCGCCCGCTGCGGTCAACCTACTGTCGTATTTCTCCACAACTGCTCGTCTCGTTGCACCGATAGTGAGTTCATTTGAGACAGCTATGGAATCGAGTTTGTGTTCCTACCACCGAATGCCACGAACTTGCTGCAGCAATTGGGCATTGCCGTTTTCAGGTCTACAAGTGTGATATCAAGAATGCGGGACTACGTACCTGAGTGCTTCGAGCGCAACGTCGCTGCTACACACCAAGGCCATTGCAATTTCTGGAGCGGCGTTCTCGTCAATCCATTTAATGAAGGCATGACAGGCACGTCTTTGTTCTCGTACTTTCCACATGGAGGCCCGGTGCCAGCTCCACCTCCTTCCAAGATGTCGCGGTAGACTGTCAATTGGGGCGGTATTGATGCTGGGGATAAAATGCTGTACCCCGCCCAAACGATCGATGGCTTGGTGAGTCTTGCGGGTGGCCGCCAGGAGCTGCAGAAGCTCCTCGCAAACATTGATGGCGCCATCAAGTGTCCCACTGGAAGCGCTGTGTTCACAAAAGCTCCGGGTTCGCTTTCCAAACACTTTTAAGGACTAGTGCACACAGCCACGCCATTTTACTTGGCACATGACTGGGAAAGCAAGCTCGTATCGTACTACAATCAAAGTTTGTATGTCACTACCGCCTCTGGTCCGTTCTCGATGATTGCAGTGTCTTTGCTTGGTTCTGGATGCAAAGGTATTCCGGTTGCTGATGCAGTCCGCCTCGCCTGCATAGCCTGTCGCGCCTGGGATGCAGACGCCACTCCATCCATCCCATCACTCCACGTTATCTTTGGCATTCAAGACCCATCTATCGAGACCCAGTTCCAAGCCGAATTTGCCCGAAACCAACGCAATGTAATTTCAACCTATCCAATTTCATGTTAGAAACCAGCGGTCCAATGATACTTTTGTGTGAAAGTAGTTTAAGCCAATGAAAAGTACTGCACATCCGGATAACGGAATTATCCGGATACGCAAACACCACCAATTGATTGCACCAGTGCATTCTCCGATCATATCATGGCCGACTCTCGCTACAACCAACGCGGCGTGTCCGCTGGCAAGGAAGATGTGCACAATGCCATCAAGAACGTGGACAAGGGACTGTTTCCTCAAGCCTTTTGCAAGGTCGTGCCGGACTACCTCTCTGGCGACGAAGACTACTGCATCGTCATGCATGCCGACGGCGCTGGCACCAAGTCTGCGTTGGCGTACATGTACTGGAAGAAGACGGGTGACTTGAGCGTGTGGAAAGGCATTGCCCAAGACGCGTTGATCATGAACATCGACGATCTCTTGTGCGTGGGCGCCACGGACAAGATCTTGTTGAGCTCGACCATCGGCCGCAACAAGCAGTTGGTTCCTGGCGACGTGATCTCTGCCATCATCAATGGCACGGAAGAGCTCTTGACGACATTGCGTGGTCAAGGGATTGGCATCCACTCGACTGGCGGCGAAACCGCCGACGTCGGCGACTTGGTATGTTGCGTCCTTCACTGCGATATATCGTCCGTGTATCTGGTTATTCTAAAGACTTGTAGGTCCGCACGATCATTGTCGATTCGACCGTGGTGTGTCGATTGAAGCGTAGCGACGTCATTTCCAACCACACGATCCAGGCGGGGGATGTGATTGTCGGCCTGTCGTCTTTTGGCCAAGCCACGTACGAGACCGAGTACAACGGCGGCATGGGCAGCAACGGACTCACGTCCGCCCGCCACGACGTCTTCACCCACGCGCTGGCCACGGAATTCCCAGAGAGTTTCGACCCCAACGTCCCCGAAGCGTTGGTCTACTCTGGTACCATCCCCATGTCGTTTTACCCAAACTATGGACTCTTGTGTGCTGCTTCGTTCGCCAACTCCATCGATCGATTGGTTGTACTAAAGTTGTATGTCAAATGTTGTCGATTGGAATCACACTATTTGAAGTCATACACAAATTCGATGCGGAGGCTGGTTCCTGCAGTCTGATTGGTGCGCTGGTTCGCCAACTCGATCGATCGATTGTTTGTAATATTTGTATTGTCCTTGTACCGTGGATCTTTGTGCTGAATCGCCAAATCTGTCGATCGATTTTATGTACTGACACAACTTCGGTATGTACCAATCGTCCAGTGTCACACTAATTGAAGTCATACACTAATTCGACGTTGATTTCGTCAAATCGTGGATTTGATTGGCTACTTGATTCTTCATCTGGGTTTTGATTGGTCGATCGATTGGCTGCCGATTTGGTGCTGTCCGTCGAATCGACTTGACGTCAAAAGAAGGTGTCGTGTGGTGATTGGAATCACACTAATAAAAGTCATATTTCGACCTTCGATCGTGGTTTTCTGCATTCTGATTGGCTCAATCCGCCACTATATCCCATCACCATCAAATCAACTGATGCCCTTTTCAGGCTCCAAGACCCTCACGGACGACGTACCCGGCGCGCCGTTGAACGCGGGCAAGTTGGTGCTGTCCCCCACGCGAACGTACGCGCCGATCATCAAGGCCATCTTGGACCAAGTGGCCCGGGAGCACATCCACGGGATGGTACACTGCTCTGGGGGTGCCCAGACCAAAGTGCTGCACTTCGTTAAGGATGTGCATGTGATCAAGGACAACTTGTTCGAGACGCCGCCCTTGTTTGCGCTCATCCAGGCCGAGTCCAAGACCTCGTGGAAAGAAATGTACCAGGTGTTCAACATGGGCCACCGCATGGAGCTGTACGTGTCGCCCGCCACCGCCGCGGAAATCATCGCCATCTCCCACTCGTTTGGCGTCGACGCCCAAATTGTCGGCCGGGTCGAAGCGCATGTCGGCAAAAAGGTCACGATCGCATCTCGTCACGGCACATTCGACTATGAATAAACAACTGTCTACTAGTACTACTACTAGTACTACCGGTACTACATACAGTCAACTTTGTAAAGGCCACACAAAACGTACAACATGTGAGATTGCACGTCGAAATATACAAGCGGCAACTCACCATACCGTATAGTGTATATGTATTGCGACTGGTGATATTTCACAACCACCCGACACTCAAAATTTTGTTAATCCATTGCGTCATACAAATTTGAAGTCTATATTCAACATGTTCACAAGTAAATAGCAGTTACAGTAAGTAGTCCCCCAGAATAGGGAACCTTTGATTCCGATACGTTTTAAGAGGTATCACTACTGCTCAGGTATAAAACTAAAAAGGTATTTTCGGTAGGGTTCCTTGCTTCTGATTGGTCAATGTACTCGGATTGAAAAATCGACATCATTTTCGAATTCAGGAGGGGGTTGATACATTGTATCCTAGCTTACAGATGACCATGACGATGTCCATCCGTCATAGGATTGGTGTGTGGCGAGCATTGCATCTTGTTGAAATATTTGACAAGCTGGTTGAAACGGCTGACGAAACTGAATAAAAGAATTTCGCGTCACTCGTGAGCACTGCTCGAAGTTAGTCTGTTGGAAGCGTTGGAGTGGGCCAAGGAGGCTTGGCAATGTGTGACGCAAGTCACTATTGTGAATTGTTGGCGCCATACTGGTATTGTTGACAAGGAGGTTTATGAGTTGGTTGATAGTATGCATAACCTTTAAAAAGAATGAAACGTGTTTGTGTTTTGTCTTCAGGAGGTTGCCACCGTGTCGATTGCCGAATTTAGAGGGTCACGTGAAAGGCCAAATGCTAAACGAGCCCATCGACGCAACTCAACTCTTTTCATGGCAGCGCGTGACGCATGCTGCTTTAACAGTGTACGCTTCTGCTCGTTTGTCAATCGTAGCCGCGACAACGGCGACGGCATGCTGAGTTCCAAGTGTGAGTGTCGCCAACAAGTGTTAGATTATTTGCGTGGTTAATTTAAAAGTTGAATGTACCTCTCCGATTTTATGACTGATTTGCACGCAAAATTATGTTTTCTGAGAGGATATAGATTTATGGTGGGTTCCTTATTCCGGGGGACTACTGTATTACAAGAAAACTATCAGATATTACAGGAGTCGCAATCGATTAATCCGTCGCAATATATATACACTATACGGTAAAACGATATCCGAAATACTATTAATAGTACATGTGCAATAATTAAAACTGTGCAATGGAATAAAACTCTTTCCAACACAGGTTTATTATGCCAGTGTTTCTTTTACTAGTAGAGGTTTATAAAAACACACGACAATATCCTTTCTCCGTGTCTGTCTTATGGAAATCTACAGCCTGCCACTGCTGCCTTCGGACGGCGATTCCAAATGGACGGCCTGGAACCGTTCGTTGCTCACTCGGATTTCCTCTTCGCTGTCTTCGTATTCCACCGTGTCATCGTCCATGTCGACTTCGGGCACGACAAAACTGCTCCCTCCATGCGAATGCGGCGGCGCATGGACAGTCATATCCAACTCGTCGGCACTCACCGAACACGCTTGCAACGTGACCGTGGGGGTCGGTCCCGAGGCGTCGGGGTTCTTGGTCCACACCTTCCACCCGTCCTCTGGCGGCGTCTCTTCGTGGATCGTGCACAGGCAATAATAAAAGTCCACATCCGTCACCGTACCCAGCGTCTGCCGGTTCTCGGCGTGCGAAATATACCACCGGTGGGTTTTACTGGGCATTTCACACCGAAACAACGTGTACTCGATGTCGTGATTGGTCATCCGAAACACCGGGCATCCGTCGTGGCGCTGGTGCTGCACCATGTGGTACACGCCATTCACGGCCGCGCATCCCGCGCCAGACACGGCATAGCTCTTCTCTTCCGGGGTGAACGGCACATGCAGCAATTCGCCGAGCGCCAGAAGCGTCTCGAGCTTGCCCGGGTCCCGATACAGCACGGTCACGCGACCACCCAAGCTCGGTTTCAAACTCTCGAGCCGGAGCCATTCGTACATCCACACCCAGTCTCCAACATGAGCTTGCAGCCAATTCGCGACTCTGGGTACCTTGTGCAAATCCATCAAGATCGTCACGTACCGGTAGATAAACAGCGCCGGCGCCGTGCCGTACTGCGCGTACACTTTTTTCCGTTCTGCCGCCGCCACCAGCAGCGAATACGACGTCTGCACCATCGTCAACTCGATCAGCGCCACATTCTCGTTGTTGGCTTCAAACGTGAGCAATTGGGTCAATATTTGCACCGCCGCATCCACGATCGGCAACCCCTTCCACCCCAACTCGGCATGAAACAGCGCCGTCAACACGCTCTTGATCACGAGCGACGACGTTGACGGCGACCCCAGACTCACACGCACGAGGAGGTCGGCCACGGCTTCGGCGTCTTCTTCCAGCGCCGCTTCGATAAACACTTCGTGCACAATGGCTTCGCGGCAGAGCGCGGGCAAGTTGTCAAGCAACGACGACGCAGGCTCCAGGTCGTGCACCGAGGGCGGCCGCTGCAAATTGTCGCGAAAGCCGTGGGCTTTGAGGTCGCTCAGCACTTGTTTGGACGACGTCGCGCCCAGCTCCGTGTAGTACTCGAGCCACGCTGACAAATCCAACTGCGGCCACTTGGACAGCATCGTCTTGATCTTTTTCGCTGTGACTTTGGCCGTGGCCACGGTCGTGCCGCACACTCGGAAATACTTTTGCAATTCCTTGACGCCCATCACGTGGTCGTCGGTGCAATACTCGTGAAAGAGACTCGTCAATGCACTTTGGGCGCGCGCGCTCAGCACAATATGGTCGCGGGGTTGGGTCGAAGATGAAGCATGCGCTTCTTGTTCGGCCAGAAGCGGCTCGGGTGCGTTGCGCGTGAGGCCCAGTAGCGCCCCGATCGCGTCAAACAGCGCTTGGCACTCCAACGGCGCTTCCCCCGCCAACGGGCCGTACGCGTGCACCAGCCGCGCATACGATCGCGTGCCAAGCAGCACATGAATCAACCGACTGACCATTTGGTGCCGTTGAAATTGTTCGCGAAGCACGGGCGACAAGCTCGCAATGTGGAAAATCAGCGTGAAATACTCGTCCATGAGGGGCGGCACACACCAGTCGGCGACGCGCGCGCTCAAGTGCACGAGCGCGGCGGGGTCGTCGGGGGGGGACGTCGCCACGACCGCTGCCGCCGCACGGGTCAGCAAGCCGACGACAGTTGGTCGGGCCATCGGGTCGGGGCACTCTGTGAAGAACACCGACAGGTCCGGCACCTCGAGAAACCACGCGGCGAACGCCGGCGTCGTGGCAAATGCGCCGTGAAAGAGATCCACCCACCGGCCAAAACCCTTTTTCTCACGGAACCGCAGCACGATGGACAGCACAAACTGCATGCCGAGCTGGAGCCACTTGAGTTGATCCTGGTGAGTCGCCACCACTTGCTTCATAAACTCGTCAAAGGCCGTGTCAAACACGTACGAGTGGCGTAGAAAGAGGTCGTTGGCGGCCCATACTTGCTGGGCCATGGGGTTGGTGTGGACCATCGACACGGTCGTCGTCGAGTTGGTCGGAGATTCGGGTCGGCGCACCACTTTTTCGTAAAACAACATGAGCGCGTTGCTAAACACTTCCATTTCCATCGTGTTGGTCATGCCGTTCCACGACGACGTGCGCTTTTGCATACCGCCAAAACACTCGGCTTCAATATTGGCCGGGTCGAACGCACTCACGTCTTCGTCGTCATACTTGAACCATTTGCCCACGGATTGATCCTTGATAAACGAGTAGTAGTGGCCTCCTTGCGCGACGCCGGCGTGCACGAGCACCCCGCGCAGCTCATACATGTACTCGTCGTCATTATCGTCGTCGTCCATGCCGCCAATATCGTCGTCAACGTCTTCTGCCGCCTTCTCATCCAGGCCGCGCTTGGTGTACGGCTTCATGTCAAGTTTCAGCGGAAACGCACACCGGTTATTGAGCTTGACCGTTTCAAACGTGGCATAGTCTAAGTCGAAGCGCTTCAAGTGCAGCACCAGCAGCTGCGGCAACGCCCCAAAGCACGTGCGTCGGATCGCCGCCTTCTTTTCCCCACACAGTTCGCACTCGACCTTGTTGTCGCCGTCCATGAGCTCGCCTTCAACGAACGCCGCGAGCGACTCGTCGATGCTTTCTTTGCCCCGGATCTGCAATTCCAGCCGAATGAACGCTTCTTCGCGCTCAAAGCGGTGGCCGCAGCCTTTCGGCAGCTTTTGCGAGATCAACTTGCCCCCCAAATGCGACTGCAGGCACGCCGTGCCCTGGGGCGTCTTGGCCAGCCCGATTTCCAACCGGTCCAGCAACTTGTCGCAAAACTCACTCGCGTCGTTCTGTTGGTACACGGAAAACTCCAAGTTTAAACACTTGCACGCTTCCACCTACGTACGTACGTACATGAACACCTCGGTCAAGAGTTCAATGGAATAGTGAAATATGTGCTTTGGCTACCAGTGCTTTCGGGTTGAAATAGCGCATCTCACTCTCTTGGAGGTACCAGAACGTGCGCTGGACTTGACGAAGCACTTCCACCGTGGCCTCGTCGCCTTGGAGTGTCGGCGGCAACAATGTCACTCGGTTCATCGCTTCCTTGCCCCACAGCTTGAGCCGTACGTCCGTGCTGCCTTCGTCATACTTGATGAGGTGCATCTTGGTGGCGTGGTCGTAGCCAGTGATCACAGCTTCGAACGACCGGCCGTTGTTGGCTTCGTTCATGATCCGGCGCCCAATCAGCGACGTCGGGTCGGTGTGCACTAAATGCGGCAGATTCAGCTGCGACTCGGGGATCTCGGGGAATCGGTCCACGGGGATCGCCGCCGCCAACAACCCGTGGCGGATCGGCGGGTACATGAATAGCTGCTGCAAAAACGAGTTCATGTAGCACGAACACCCCTGGTTCTTCAACCCCACGTGGTCGCCTTGCCCCCTTGCCCCGACGTTCACTTCCTGGCCCCATGACGAAGTCGATGAGGTGCTCGTCGCGTCGATCAACGACGTCAGCTTGGCATGCAAGTCGTCCGTCGTGGAATTCGCCGCCGACGCCGCTGCCAGCTGGGCCACGACACCGTACGCTGCTTTCCGGGTGTCGGCTGATGCGCATAAACACTTGGCGCCACTTGCAAACAAACTCTTGTCGTACAGCACGTCCAGAATCTGCTGGCGCGCGCGACTCGACAGCGATGGCTGGGCGCACAACGTGTGCAAGATTGCGAGCGACCCCAGCAGCACCGACGTGGACATGGTCGGTTGAAACAACGCGACGAGCGCCGCCTCCAACGCTTCCACTTGGTCGGGCGAGAATTGGGGCACCAAGAACGCCACCAACGCAAACAGCTGTGTGCCACGGTCGCTGGTGACGGGAAGCGCGTTCTGGAGCGTGTGCAGCGCTGGCGCCACGAGCTGCTTGGTCACGTTGTGGGGCTGGGACTGAAGCGTCGCGAGCCATTGGACGCGGATCGGTTCCTCCGGGTGTAGCAGCGTCGACGGCATCGGCCACGGATCGGGAAATTCAAACGGCACGTACACGGAAATCGCTTGCATGATCTGCAGCGCGTCGATCACAACGCGCGGCGCCAGCGACGACCGCCATACCAACGCACTCAGTTGCGTCATCAACGACGCCATTTGGGCTGTCGACAGGTGGTTCGTTCTCTGCTGCGACAATGGCGGGTGGTGGTGGTTGCTGTGGAGCACGCAATACTTGACCAAGCGCATCGCCACCGCCATCCCTTGTTCGTCCACGCGAGGGGTCTCAAACAGAAAATGCACCACGTGGTCGAGGCCGTGCTGGATAAACGACGTCACATACGCCTGCGACGCCGCGCCGTGCACCGGCATGAGACATCCGTCGATGATTTCGAGGACATACACGGCTTTGTGGTACGATGACGTGGCGAGCCACCGCTGCAAGCTGTCGGGGCGGTCTAGGGGCTGCGAGACCATGTCCAGAAGCGTCGTTTGAGTCGGGACGTTGGCCACCACGTCCAGTACAATCGCATGCGTGTCATTCTGCCCTTGGTACCGATCCAGGAGCCCAAACAGCACGTCAAAGTACGCTTCGCTCTGCGACAACAACGTGCCTAAATGGAGTAGAGGTTGCTGATGTTGCTGGTTGTTGATGTTGCTGTCGTCTATTCCGTCCAGGTCTTTGGCCACGTTGGTTTGAAACAACACCACCGTCACTTCCGTCGACGTTTGCTTGTGGTCGGTTAGCGCCAACTCGCGCCACGTCTTGGCATCACCGACCAAGGGCGTGCCTTGGACAAGCAGTTTCGTCTGCGTCAACGGGTGACCCAACTGCGCTTCCACGAGCTGCCGCACTCGGCCCAGCGTCTCGTTGGCCGACACGTGCAGCGTAAACGCGGGGGGTTTCTCCGCCGACACTGACGTGGGCAGGCGTTGCACGGTGCATTGCAGCGACAACGGCGCGCCGCGGGACCGCTTGCCATGGACGATGGCCCCGGCACCAATGGGGCTTTGGTGCATGTAGCCCGTGAGCAAATGCATGCAGTGCTGGACAACTTCGGCCGACGACGACGCGCGCTGGAGCACGTCAAACACATGCTGTAGGAAATGCTGGGTCGCTGGAATGCTGTCCGTCACTTGCACATACACGTTGAGCAGCTCCACGATCGCCGCCTTGGACACGGCCGGCAAGCCGTAAATCGCCACTTGCCACAACGCGTCGAGGCCAATCAGCGACTCGAACGACACGATGCGCCGAATGGCATTGGTGGACATAACAGGTGATGTCGTCGTTGTTGTGGATCGAATCAAGTGGTGGTGGTGGGCGTTCACACCCACAAAGTACATGTGAAAGCACGCAAACCCGGCCTCGCTCAACGCGCTAAAGTCCGTCTCGTGGGGGTTGCACAGAAGGTCGTTGAAAATGTACTCGCACACGGCCACATTGAACGGCGCGACGTTGTCGCTGGCAAACACGCTGGACTCGGTGAGGAACTGCCAGCACAGGTCGCGGTACACACGTTGCTTGGATAGCACAGTCCAGAGCGACCGCACTTGCGCTTGGGTCATTTCCAGCGCATTCGACTTGCCATGCACGTAATGGATCAGGTCCAGACGGTGGCGAAGCGCCGACTCGAGCGTATGGCGCTGGACAAACGCTGCCAACTCGTCAAAGAGCAGCTGCACGAGGTTGAACGTGGCGTTCACGTGGTCAACCAGGTCGTCGTCATCGTCGTCGTCGTCGTTACCGGAACACGACTCGAGCAGTACCTTCAGCAGCTCCAAGCTCCGGGTCGTGGCCGCCTCTTGGTCGGCGCTCCATGTCGTCGTGGTCTGCGCCGACACGCGCAGCATGTGAATGCACTCGTTGACAAACAACGCGCGCTCTTTCTCCCCTGCGGGGCTTTGCAGCGCCGTGTGAAACAACTCGAGCACGTCCGCCGCGCTATGCAGCTGCGGGTCGGACGCGTTTTGAAGGCGCCACAGCAGCCGCAGACACTTGGACGTGACGCCAGCCTCGACGCGGTGCAGAATCGACCGGTACGTGCCGGCCACCTTGTCCATAAACAGCGCCACGTCTGGCAACAAGTGCACCGGCTGGGCCAACAAGAACGATAAAAATGACACCACTTGGTCGTCGCTCAAGTACACGAGCACGGACGTAACCAGCAGCGTGTGGATCTCCGCGACCAGCGACTCCTCCTTGCCGGTTGCCGACGCGTACACGTGTTGGACGTGTTCGTCGGAAAGTTGCCCCGCTTCAGCCAAGAAACGCAGCAACGACGCGCTGCGCACCACGATTTCGCGATGGATGCGATCGCCAAAGATCTCGTCCAGAAGCTTGTGGGTCCACACAAAGCTCAGCACTCGCTGATCCAGTCGCGTCGAGTCCACCACGGCCGTTGGACGAGGGCGATGGGGAATCAGCAACGGACTCGGGGCTACGCCTTGGCCCGTGGGTACCCAATGGGACAGCGGGGGCACGACGTCATCGCCAACCGATTGGTGGTGGTAGTAGTCGATGTCTTGGTCAGTGCCTGGTTGCGCTTGGTCGGCTTCGGACAAGAACCACATTTTCGATCCATTTTTCATCGTGCAGCAAAACAAAGTCATGGGATGATGAGGGCCGCCTGGAGGAGGGGGCGTCGACGGCGGTGCGTGCCGCGATTTGGAAATGGTGGTGCTACTATTACTCGTCGGTTGCTTGATGTACGTGCCGGCGGACGACGTAGTTGGCGGGACCAACTGGTACACGCCATTCACGAGCTCGGACCCGGCCCCCGCGACGCGATACGACAGCGGCAGCGGCATCGATCGCCGGGCGACTTGTACGACTGAGCCCAGCTGCTCAAACCCAAACAACCGCTGGGGCAACGACGTCGACTCGATGAACCGACCAATCACAAGCAGCAACGCGTCTTGCAGGTCCTTGTCTTGGTCGAGTAACCGCTGGATAAGGTGGAGCATGTGTCCGATCGAGTCGGTGGGTTCTTTCTTGAGCTCGGCCGAGGGCAACACGAGCACGAGCTGCAACAGCGATTGAAGCAACCGCCGAATCAACGTCGAATCGACTTGGACGCGGAGGTCGTACAGCCCTTGGAGAAGCAGCTTGAGGTCGTCCATGGACACGGTTTGGATGAACGCGATGGCCTTGTCGGCGTCCGTGACGTGCTGATCGAGGGTCCGCGTGAGCATGGAGAACCCGTGGTGCTCGTGGAACAACGCAAGGCACTGCAGGCGCACTTCCGGGCACCCCGCCGGCGATTTGTTCCAGTATTGGCCCATCATGTGGTGGTTCGAGCCGCGGAATTCCTTGTAAAAGTGCTTTTGCTTGTTCAAGATCAGCGCCATGTGTGAAAAGTACGCGAGGCGCCGTGGCGGTGACGTGTGAGGGTTCTGGAGCTGCGCCAGACATAGCACCGTGCCCTTGGTCAACGTGCGAATGACACAGTTCTTCTCGGTGACGGCCATCTTGGACGTCCTAGGAGAGAGATTGTAACGCACATGCGTCTTTGTCATTTTTAACGTATAGGAGGAGAAAGTACATTTGATCGAGCATGATGTTGACGATTTGCGCAAAGCACAACTGCAAGAACTCTTGGACCTCTGCTTCGTGAAGGTGGGCATGAGCGATCTCAAACGCATTCACGGCGTTGTGCCATCCCACCGTTGCTTGCTTTCGCAGATCTTCGTACACGATTCGAAGGAGTCCGCTCTGTTGGGGATTTAATGGGGGTCCAGTTGCTTCCATGTGTGTGGACGGGGGTTGGTCTTGGAGAAGACGGCGGCGTTTGTCCGACTCGTTCAGCGACGGCGTCGTGGATGACGACTTGGGCAAGGTAGCAGTCGAGATGGACGAGGATGAATCAGTTGACGTGTCGGGTTCCATTCGTTTGTGGCTGTTGCTTGGACTTGGTGTTGACGACGTCACGATGGAAATGGCACTGTCACGAGACTTATTACTCGTGATGTCAACGGGAGTGCAGCGCTCGAGTGATCGACGCTACTACAATCACGAACAATACACCATGTGACTCCTCTCATGGGTATCCTGCGACATCACGGAGCATGAAGATGGGACATACCTGTATAGATAGAGGTGTTCTTGATTGAAGGAACCCACACAGACAGCCCTTTCCGTGGAGAGAAGCGGCAGGCGGTGCAGAAGCGGCGGTGGAGTGCAGTCCTCCCTCGTTACAACAGTCAAGATGGGATGGTGAAAACAGTCTTGGACTTTTCAAATAAAATAACTATTTTTCGTGTCGACCATACAAACACCCAGATAAATCCAAGGTGGGCCACACACTTTGCTCCATTATATTGTCCGTGTTTCAAACCGTTTGATTGGGTGTTTTAAACATCCCTCTGTATAGATAAACCAAGTGATTTCACCAACTGTTTTATACAATTGAGAGTGATGGTCGTGTGGCCAAAGCTCGCGATCTTCGCTCAACCCACAAACAGTCGCGTCAACCCCCGCGACAGTTAGTACTCTACTAATAGTACAAACAATAGTAACGTTATATTGCAATATATAGCTAATAATATGTACTTTTGCTCCCCCGAAACGCTCACAATTATTGATTGTTCTCACTTGTTGATATTATTTGCCTTATATTGCCAATATTTACTATACTGCAAAACTAGTGGCGCAATTATATACTGAAGTACTACGTATTCATACAGTCCTTAGTATTGCTCTTGAGCGTCCAACCCAATTATATGTAGTACTATTGTAGGGGTCTGTCTGGGATCGGTCATTAAAAAACGAAAATATAAACAAATGGATTTCGGCTCCCCTTAAGCTTGTACTAGTAAATAATAAAGATTGTGATTTTCGCTATAAACTTCCAAAATTCGCCTGGTTTTTTGTCTAATCAATACTAGTATTGACAAGGTGAATTACGCCGGAGTTCTGATTGGCTTGAATATACCTGTCCTTTCGAGCCAATCAAATCCACTCAAAATTGGATTAGCCAATAGCGTCGATTTGTGATTCGGATCAGCGTGAGATATTCGATTATTCAAACGGGGTCTGGAAATTCGTACCGAATCCACAAGAATAATTACTTTTGCGCATTGCTGACATGACAGGAGGCAACGATAATACACACCAACCACGTCTCCATGGGGCAATAGCATGCACAAGACGTCGATGCAAATGAAGGCTTATGATTATAGTCTAAATTACCAAAATTTTGCTGGCAATGAGGAGTGTGACTTCGCAAAAAAGCCAACTGAGGTGGCTCTACCGGACGTTTCCAGCGTAGATCATCATACGACGGTGCACATAGTGAGTAGACTCCACAGAGCGACATACGTAGCCCCAGCAGCATGCAATCACATGGATGTGGCGGCGGCTTTCGCATTATTGTCGATCTCAGTCAAGGCGATCTTCTCTCAATTGGATGCCGAAGTGTGCAATATGATTGGGCGAGGGAAAACTATTGAACCAATGAAAATGCTCCGGTAATTTCGACGTCCTAAAGTCATGGACAGCTCGTCGACGAACCGCGTCGACATCGCTGGCACTCCCACCGACGCAGACGACAGCCACCTATATGGATCCACCCCTGATTCAAGCGATCGCATGTCCAGAATGCATCCTTCTTCCACCAATCTTTCGCCTACCAAAGCAGCCATCGATTTCGACCGGTTCTACGGGGACGGGTCGTTCCTAAAACTCCTGCAGGAGACCCTGCAAAAGAACGCCAGTGTGCTCAAGCAGGGCGTGGTCAAGTTGGCATTGAGTCCCATCGCGATAGCGTACCTGAACGATCGGCTGCACGCGACGTTGTGTCCAAAACGAGCGACTGTAATACCACTCCGTCCTCATCATGTCGGAGCATCCTAATGGGAGTCGCATTAGGACAACAGCGGGCGTGTTGATGGATGGACCATTCGAGAGTCGGCACACACGCAGTCGTTCCTCCGCGTGGTATCTCCACGGAAGCGCGACATCTTCAACGACGACGCCCTCGTGCCAGTGGGGCATCTGGACGTGCTGAAGCTGTCGACGTTGTTGACCGAGACCACCTGTGTTAAAGTGACAGGAACACACGAACAACCATCGTTGTCAATGGCTGTTGTGTATTTCAATATCTTTCCCAGCTTGAAACGTATCGAGTTGAATCGGCTGCCAGTCACCGCGTTGGACCAACTGGCGTGCTTTGTAGCGCAATTGGAGGTATGTAAATATATATATATCGTTCCTAATATATATATAGTGTCCTTTTATCCCAAATTTGGACTTTTGTGTTGATTCTTTGCCAAATCTATCGATTGATCATCTTTGTACTAACTTTTGTATGTAACCATCGTCCAGTGTCACACTAATTTAATTCACACACTAATTCGATGTTGAATTTGGTCGAAGAGTGGATAATTGATTGGCCAGTTGATTCGAATTATTAATAATTTTATATTTTAAATAGACATTTTTATTCTTTATTTTAAATATATCAGTTAAAAAGCGTGTTCTGGGTTTTGCTTGGTCAATCGATTGGTCTGCCGATTCGGTGCTGCTCATATTCGATTTAGCACCCCATATCTCCAATTTTTCGAATCGACTTGACAATATATATATATATATATATATATTATTGGCAAAAATTGGCCAGAATAATCTCTTGTGATTTTAGGTATTGCAATTAACAGAATGCGTGATGCAGTCGCCGCTGGTGGTGCTGAGACACTCGACGGCTTGGACATCGCTGACGAATTTGAAACTCGTCCACTGCGACCTTCGCGAGTGGTTTCCCGACGAAGTACCGTGTTCTTGAGCTCGTTGCTGGGCAATATATATATATATATATATATCGACTGACTGGGAAACTCGTAGATGCGGCAAGTGCCAGTGCTTGAGCAACTGGATTGCTCCCACAATCGCCTCAGTGCATTGCATGACCTTCCAGCCCCATCGACATTGCAACTCGTGACATTGAGCCACAATCGACTCAAATGTGTCACCCTTTCCCAGTCGTTTTCAAAGCTAACGTGGCTCAAACTCGACCACAACGCGTTCGACACGCTACAAACCCTGCCGTGGGCCTACTTGCCTCACCTTCAAGTATGATTTTGATGCATCGATGTATCTTGTTATGAGAAATCAAATGCACCAGGTTTAGCCAATCACATTGCTCCAAGAATCATTGAGTACTTCAGATTCGTGAGTGTTTAAGCCAATCAAATGATACTGCTCACGAATTTCGACCAATGATCTTTGAGCACCATATAGTAGTAGTGTATTTGGTCCATATATATGTGTGTGTGTGATGCATGAACACATTCGCGAAGTATCCATACACAGCGAACCCTCTACTATCAATGAATTGTTAGGTTTGAGTAAACATATATTGTGATTTTCGCTATAAACTTGCAAAATTCGCCTGGTTTTTGGCGAATCAATATTGAATCACGCTGAAGTTCTGATTGGCTTGAATATACTTGTCCTTTCAAGCCAATCAAATCCACTCAAAATATTGGATATTAGCCAATAGCGTCAATTCGTGATTCGGATCGGCGTGAGATATTCGATTATTCGACGGGGTCTGGAAATTCGTACCGAATCCACAATATCATCTCTCTTTTAAAAAAGTCCTGACCATAACCACCCATGTATATATATATATATATAATATCAATGTATAGCACCTGGACATGTCGTTCAATGCGCTTGACGATTTAGCCGAAGTCAGCGGCCTCAGTCAAGTTAGAGAATTGCAAACGTTAAAGCTACGAGGAAATCCGCTCGCTGGCTTCCCCGACTACCGTCGACAAGTACACGACTTTTAACGTCCCAACGAATGTGCCCAAGTATAAGTGTGGTAGGTGTTGTTTTACGTGGGCCATGCCATTGAATTAGACGACCTGCCTTGGACATGGACAGAACTCGACAGCATGCGGTTCTCCCGGCATAACAAACGTACGAATATATATATATCGATAAATCAATATATATATTAATAAATTAATATATATATATCAATAAATTAATATATATATATATATCAATAAATTTATATATATATATATCAATAAATCAGTATATATATATATATAATATATATCTTGGCGTAGGCACTGCAGACCCCCTGGCGTACCCCCGGTTACCCCCCAAAACGAATCAACTGCAAGCTCGTGTGGTCCAGATTCTCGACCCGCGACCTCCATATCTGCCCATGATCATCCGACGGACTAGAACGCAAAGCGCGGCATTTAGTGAAGCGAGCGCGGCGTCGAGCGTGGATCGTCGAAGTGTTGCTTCGGGTCAGGCCGCGATATATATATATTTATTTTTTCTATCATGGGGTCACGAATGATTGAAATAATATTCTATTTTCGCAGATTCTGAAGGGCCCATGTCTCCAGCATCGTCGAAAGTCCGGGCAGCATCGTACCACGTGGACGAATTCCTTCGGGATTTGGCGGCGGAAGAATCGCCCGACACGCCACACGACGACTGTCTTGTTCCATCGGTAAAAGAAATATATATATATCATATATATTTTTCGGTGTATATTTATTTTTTCCATGTACTAAGTACGGTATGTTAGGATACATTCGACCATGTGATGCCCCCCACGACTCCAGGTATGGTCGTGACGATTTTTCTGTCGATGGAACAAGCCGACAACCTGGACTTGCCGTTGAGTCGCCAAGGCTTGACTGGTCTTGTCCACATCACGGTATATAATTATATATCTCTATATATGACTATTTATTTATTTATATATCATATTGTATTGATGTGTTTGTATAGCCGACCAAGTTGATGGAATATCTGCCGGGCGGGGGAGTCATACAGCGCCATCGTGCGCACTTGTTGTGCATGGCCGTGTTACCTCCGCTTCACGATGCCAGTACGACGATTCAATTGGGATTCCGCCATCGACCGACTGTCGCTTACAAGGTATGTACGGGCACAGACAGGTTCGTCGATGATGTCGTTGAATGGCGATTCGATATGTAGTACAGCCACCACTCACCTTGTAGTCAATTAACCAATATCATTTGACTCTATTTAAGCTGGTGCAAACTTCACAATGATTAGTATATAATATCCGACTTTGCCCAGGAGGGAGAGTATGATCTGAATCAGTTCTTTGGATTGGCAGAAATTCACTCGAACAACGTGATTTGATTGGCTTTGGCGTTTCTTGAATTCATTCTCACACGACAGTTTCGAATCGATTTGACAATTCTATTTTTATTCGAATTCATACGAACTAAAGCTATTGTAGGTATTTTATATATCTTTTTGACCAATTGAATGTGTAATGGATAAGCTGCAACTAGATGGCCGATATGGCAACGGCATCGACTTTGGCGCGGACGTTGCACGACACGTTGGCAGAACAGCACAACGTGGTCGCGCTCAAGTGCAAAGCATGCAGTGCATTGGTCGTGTCCAAGGAGAAGCAGGTTGGATATTATATAATATTAATCACACAAAATTAATGATTACAATGATGCAGGCCAAACTCAAACCAGACCAGCCCATGGTGTTAACCATACGCCAGTGCTGGATCTGCAAAAGTGCCAATGGACGCGAGTACTCTGCCGAGAACCTTCCCCAGTGCTACAAGGACCTAGGGCTACAAATAGAACTCCCCTCTACTCGACCACCACAACCACCCAAACCCCCTTCTTATAACCAAAACCACCAAGAACGAGGTAATAAGAAACAGATCGGACACATGGGACGAACAAGTTGGACGCTTGTGCTGATTCTTTACCAAATCTACATATCGATTGTTTGAAACTTTATCTTGTATGTATATGGGTATCACACTATTTGAAGTCACACACTAATTTGACGGTGATGATTTCCTGCAATCGGATTGGCTCAATCGTTCTCCCGATGATGATTCTTCTGTACATTTTCATTCTTCATGTCGCGCTCCAGTTTACAATATTTGATAATATAAACACTACAATATATATATATGTTGGTGATCCAACCGGTTGGGGGTAGGTTTTTACTTGGACACAAGTGACGACGACGACAGCGGCGGCGGCGGTGATGGCTTGATGGAGCGAGATGAGATCATTTGGGTAGTCACGGACACGTATATGAAGCAAGTCAGGGTGACGCCAGCCGAAATGGCAGATGGGGACGAGGACCAGACTCTCGATAAGATGGTTTTATACCGGCGGTTATGTGGCATATAACGATGAATTCAACCAGTACATTCTATCTAGCAACCAAGAATACTACCGTGTTGGGTGTTTATTCGAGAGTGTTGCAATCGTACACTGGTATTGTCAGTGCTACCAACATCGTTGAAAAATTGTAGCTTGTTTAAGTACATACAGGGAAATCACGGCATTACATTGTCAGGGTTAAACGTAGCATCATGCTGGGGCTGAGACCGTCAACTGGCAAGACGGACAAAGGGGCGTCGGTCGTACGGACATGTGCATTGGTAGACAGACCAGGCCTTGATGCAGTGGGTATGGAACGTATGTCCACAGGGCAGGCGGCGCACGGTGATGCGGCTGGTTAGAGCCATGTCTTCGAGACAAATGGCGCATTCCTGACAAGCAGGCACAAACGAATGCTTGATCGCTTCGTCGCGGTTGATATGGGCTTGCATTTGGGCCATGACACGATTGATTTGTCCAACGTGTTGACGGGTGCGACGTCGATGGAGGGACTGGAGGATCTGATGAGCTGACCGACGAGGGGGCGGTGGGACGATGCTGTGGGCAGGCTTGCGAGGCACGTGGTGGTCCGCCAAAAGCGTGGCGATGCGGTGGTGTACCTGTTGTGCAATTGTCAGTGCCACCGTTGAACGCGTCGGTTCCTCCACCATCGTCCCGTTAACCCACTTTGCCACCTCGATCGATCTTGACATTTAATACTCGCACGTGATTGGTCGATTGGAAAACTCTGAGAATTCATTGGCGGAAAGTCCATGCGACTGTAACCGTTGCAACTGGAAAGAATATTGCAAAGTTGTCATGGGGCAGCAGCACACTCATATGAATCCGATGGGATATCTGCATCATGGCACTGGGTGCTTGCAATTCAAACCATACTATGACCTCCAAGTGTCGAATGTGTATGTCCAACCCTTAAGTGTTTGGGTTCGCCACTGCTACGTACTCGTAGTACATCAATGCCAACACCAAGCACACAAACACGAGAGCACACCAATTCTGGTCGACGACCACGGGAGCCACCTTTCATTCCATGATGTTTGAATATTCCTACGCAGGTAAACTTGCATATGACGGCGGGCGGGGGTAGATAGATAGTCATGCAAGCATATCTACCTATCTACTACCTATTGGACGTGCATACATGCGCCATGTTCTGGACGAAGTATGACATGGGTGGAGTTTTAGCCAATCAAACGCGACTATGAGTGGAAAACCAAACAAGCCAGTGTCGCGAGAGTGATGGTACGTGCCATGCCACTGTTGCTGGAGAATGAATTTCGAACAGTGCAACAAGCAATGATCATCGATCGATCTTGGAAGAATGGTCATTGGTGACCATTCTCACTTTTGATCTTCCGCGGGACTTCCATGAACCAGCAACCCATGACCTTGTCCCGCCGATGTGTCGTCTGCAAAGGCATGGACGCCATTATTCTCTTGGAAGGATGCGGTCACGCGTTCCACTCGCGGTGTGTCTTTGAATGGCCACTGCGCACGTGCGAAGTATGCCAGACTCCGTGCGATTCCATTGCACTCGTCGGTCGCTGCCGCCGCATGCCGACCTCCCCCACGTCGCCCACCATGAGTTGCCGCCGCAACTGGGACGAAGTCGAACGCGAATACTGCATGTTGCTCCTGGACCTGTTCAAGGAAGGCAGTTTGCCGTTGAAACCTGGCATGCACCTGCGTCAAACACTGGCGATGCTGCTGAACTGCAACCCCATGCGCATTACCAAGAAATTCAAACGGCAGAATACCCTCGGAAAACAAAGGTACGCGTACCATGCGACCCCCACGGGAGCCACGTACAAGCGTCACGTCCAACGGCAGAAGCAGCTGTCCACCCTGCGCGATGCCTTCTACTGGCAGCTCAAGCTCCAAAGCGGCCGTGCCATGGACTCGATGCGGGAAGCGGAGACGGAATTTTGGCTCACGCACTTGGTCGCGTTTGCCAGCTCAGTTGGCCAGGTCATTTCATCCACGATCGTCGTCGTCCCTTCCACTCCGCCGACGCCATTGCCCCGGGAGCAGAAGCACTCGGTCACGATGAAGGTCGAAAGCCCCATGGCGATTGAATGCGCGGTCGAGCAATACATGCCGTGCATGAGCCAGATGGAATGGGAGATCATGGAAGACCTCAAGTCGCAATGCGGGATCGACCCGCTGCCGTGGTCAGGACACAGTCTGCTGCACGACGAGCTCGGGTCGAATGACAGCTTGGGCAGCTTTCTTTTGGACAAAGTCACAGTAGACGACACAATCTGGCATTTCTAGCCCATCTATTTATCAACAGAACTGTGGTGTCGGTATATTAATATAAACAGTTTTGATCTGTGGACGACTTGGGGTGTTAAGACTACATAGCAGTACTACTAACTAGGTACTCCTTTGACGCTGGACTGTCGTAATCCGGGTACAGTGTATGTACTACATACAGTAGTATGGTCATCATAACGTAAACTCTAGAATCATTCTATGCTGACCTGTATGTACACGTTGAGTCTGTCGATCGGTAGCGTACATCGTTCTCTGTAGCATGGAGAAGTACGTGGAGTACACTGTGCACAACGACACAATCGGCACTTTGCCAGCCCAGCCGTGGAATTCCATCACTGAAATCCTCATGCAATGCGACTTGATTACTGCTAAAGACTCGAGCAATGCGACTTGATTACTGCTAAAGACTCGAGTGATGAGGACGAGCCATTGGTCGTCTGTCATCTGGTGGTCGCTTATGCGAGGCTCACATCAAACAATCCAACTGTGCGTGCAGTAGCTACCGGCGGTACACTGTACAGTACAGTACAGTCGATTACAGTCGATCCTTGTTTGGACACACACTTTGCATGCACCAAACCAATGAAGTCTTCGGTTTCAACTCCTTCACGACGCCGATCAGAACACACACATCTGCACCAGCAGCGAGCGATTGAGCTGTCTCACGACGCTATAATTAGCCCACCGCCGCCCAGACTTTCAACTGAATAATATCGAGTCAGATTGTTGCCATTCGAATACTGTCATGCCATCGATCGATCGCGAATCCAAGTGTGGGGACGACGACATGGACGTTGGCAATTCGTCGGACCATACCAGCGACGACGGCAGCGACAGCGACTCGGCCTCCCGCGGCCCCCGCGGCTCTCGCCTCACTTCCCGGCGCCACACTGGTGCGCTTGCTCTCCATCTTTCACCTTCCTCGGATATACATACATATATATATATATGCATCAAGTGGGCGACATATATGTATACTGACTGTGCGACTGTTGCGATGCGTTGCCTGTAGTGATGGCCACCCCCCTGCGCTTGGAGCGGGGATGGGTGCCGCCGCAGTACCCCAAGAGTGCGAGCGACCGCGCCGACATCCGCCGAGCCATTCGACACAACTGCCTCTTTTCCAACTTGGACGAACAGGCCATGACCGTCATGGTTGACGCCATGCAGAGGTTCCACTTTGAGCACGGTACAACTGGCGTCTATGGGTCCAACCATTTCATTCTAACCGGATAGTATCTATATGCAGGCGAGGTGCTGATCCATCAAGGAGACGAAGGGGACCAGTTCTTTGTGCTGGCCTCGGGCGCCGCCGACGTGTTCATCCACGGACAACGCGTGGGCGGCGTCGAGGCCGACACGACCGCCAACTTTTGCGGCGAATTGGCGCTTTTGTACGATTCCCCGCGCGCCGCCACGGTCAAAGTGACGACGCCCGACGTCGTGGCATGGGGCGTCGACCGCGTCACCTTTAAAAAGGTACGACAGCTAGTAGCTAGTAGCTAGTAGTACTAGCTAGGGTCGACAATGTAGCTATTAACAGTAGGAGTAGTTAGGATATGGATGACGTAGCTACGATGGTTATCAGGATGATGGTGGATGTAGGTACTGATGGACACCACGATCAAGCAGCGGAAATTGTACGAAGAGTTTGTGGACGAAGTGCCGATCCTGTCCGAATTGACAAAATACGAACGGTTGACTTTGGTCGATGCATTGCGACCTGTACGCAGTCAACAACATATAATGTCTTGACAAAGTATGGTTTCGTAGGTGTTTTACGAACAAGGCCAGCCGATTCTGGAAGAAGGCAGCCAAAGCAACGACTTTTACATTGTTTCCGACGGCGAGGTCACGTGCACCAAGCATGGCGAAGAGGTGCGAGCATCGCTCGATCCTTATGTTCATGAACTCATGGGAACGAAAAACAAGGTGTCGAGACGACTGGGCAGCGGCGATTACTTTGGAGAGATTGCGCTCCTGAGCGACGAAGTTCGGCAAGCCACGGTACGCACCTTGTTGCTGTTCTGTACGATGTTTATACTGAGGCAGAATCATTGGTGTATAAGGTCACTGCTGCCAGAGACACTACCGTGCTAGTTGTGGACCGCAACACATTCAAGCGCCTCTTGGGCCCCCTCGAATCCAGACTTGCGACAAACGTCGCATTGTACGACCAATACGTCCGACAGCGAAAGTAGTACAAATCAAATGCCAAATGTCCATGCAATGACTTGATCGTACAAGTACCTGTCAATCGATATTATATATATATATATCAGTACATGAAATCAAGGAAACAATCGATGGCGCGCAATATAACGATAGTACTGTAGTGTTATGGAATGTCCAATGGCCACGAAATACATGGTCCCTCGCAGCTACATATGTGGATACAGACAGTATAATACTATGGCCTAGCCTTTAATATATATATATTATAGCTATGGATGAAGTAATTGATCCTATATTGCCTTTACAAGTAATAAGTAGTTGTAGTATTAATATTAATACCACCGGAATCCCCTTTCACGATCAAGTATGAAGACTAACGTTAGTCGTCTTCGTGAAGAAGCACAACATGCACTTTGTTCTGGAAGTGTTTGGCGACACATTATCGTGTTTTTCAATGGGAATTATGTCACAGATAATAATCAACACCTGTCTTTGAATCGATCTCCCATATTATATACATATATATATATTATATATATATGTCATGGTTTAGCTCGCCAGTGACAGGCAAATGCCGTCGCAGTTGGTGTCGACGTACGGATAATACTTTTTTTCGGGCACATCTTCGAGGCAGATGCCCATATCGAGTCCATTTTTGGCAAAATGGATGGTCTTGTCTTGGCGATTGTATACAATCGTGAGGATATCACCGTCCACAAACGTCTGACCGCGCGGAATGTCTTCACAGAGGTGGCCTCTGCTCACTTCGCCCGAGCAAATGTTGTACGATACAACCGAGTCGACGTCGCCGTCGCGCTGGAACGCTTCCAAGCCAATGTACGTGAGCGGCATATCGTTCAGGGTGTTGCCGCGACTCACGAGTTGGATGGACACGCGGTCGACGGGTCGATTTGCTTGAATGAACCCACTTTCGTCGGCAATCGACAGCGCAAAACTCACTGTGCGCTTGTCTTCGGAAATCAATATCGTACCGTCTGTGATCCCTACGCCAAATGTTGTGGTGATTGTGGTGTTTACTCTGGAAAATGGGGGAATACGAGCCAATCAGATCGGCTCGACATATTGTCGATTTGATACAAATTTGGGGACGGGGCGCAATCGAATAATCGCGCCGACCAAACCGATCCACAATCGATCTGATTGGTTGTTGAATTTCATTGAGAAGGTTTTGATTGGCTAATTTTTTTTGAGCTCATCTGAGTTAGCCAATCAAATCGATTTAAATTTCAACGAGAAACCACAACACGAAATTTCACTCAAAAGCACAATATCAGCATCCACGTCGAATTCGTGTGTGACTTTAATTAGTGTGATACCAAGCACCACATCACACGATTTCAGTTTGTTGAATGAGTGTGTGACGGCAATTAGTGTGTGATATTTGAAATGCATAGTTTAATGCATCGATAGAGTTGGGGAATAATCAACACATTTCGGATCAAAGGACACAATATACATCCACTTGGATATATGTTTGAAGCCTAGATAGATTTTTAGAAACACAAATATATGCATAATATTTGTATGGGGCCACGAAATATATATATATATATATGTGTGTGAACGTACCCACGGATGCACTGGCATCCCATTCGAGCACTTCCAAGTTGAGGTAGTCGAGGGTCTTCATGAGACGCTGCTTCTTCAGGGGTGGCAGTCCTTCGCAGCTCAAATCGCCTTCCCGTAAGTAGGCCATCACGTACTCGAACAAGGTCGGATCGGCGTCGATGAAGTACGCATCTACGCGACGGCGACATGATCGACATATCAACGAGATATCGAATATGCATACCGTTGTCCAAGTCTGGTTTCCAGTTGTTTTGCGACAACATCGCGTGGAAGTAACTCCCTTCGAACTTGAGCAAGGTCTCCTTGGGGATAGCAAAGATGCGGCCGCCCACGTTGAGCTTGATCACGGAATGGGACAGTTTCTCCACTGCTTCGTGCACACGTTGTTCGACCATTTCCCATTGCCGCTTCTTCTCCATCAACGCACCAGCTTCCACGTCGATCTGGGCGGTGCTGCGCTGAACGTCTTCGAAAAATGCTGCGAGCTGACTCGCGTGCTTGTCAGCGAGACTCTTGAGCTCAACTTGTTGCGCCTCTCGCACCTGTTCAAGGTACCGTGCATGCTGATCCCTCATGTAACGTTGCTCATGCGCCTGCGCATCATGGATGTCCTTCAGCGCTGCGGCAAACGACCCCAACGCGCCATTTGAAGTTCCATGCATGATTGCTCAAGGCAATGAACGTTATAATACCCATGTGCAGCATAGGCTCCTTGGCGCTGATTGGTCCGCCGTCGTCAGAAGCGTGGAATCTACGGATAACATTATCCGGATACGTATTTGGAACTTTTGCACGTTTTTGCGAAACGGCATTTGGTAAATTGTGAAATTACAAAATACGTGGCAGCAATACAGTAAAAAGAAATCATCCAATCAGACTCTTACGTTCTATTCTTTCGAGCGATTTGATTCGCCGCTCCTGGCATGAAACTGTGAAACCGTGTCACAGTGTTGGATTTGTCGGATAGTATATAAGTACACTATGGCTTCTGTGAAGGCGAATGAGCGGGCTCCTCGTCGACAAGAAAGTCTACGTCAGTGGACTGGAGGACAAGTGTCGTTCGGACATGGATGGGTGCTGGAGCAACGTGTTCTTCTCATGGCTCACGCCGCTGCTGGAATCTCACCAACAAGCATCCGCTCGAGTTTGACGATCTGTACCAGTTGAACACAACCAACCGTGCCGTGCACGTTCGACCGTGTTCAAGAAGCACTGATCCGTCGAAGCACGCAAGCCACGGCCTCAGATGTGGAAGACGCTCGCACGGTCGCTTGGCGGTCCGTTTGTCGTCGCCGAGTTGCTCAAACTTCTCCACGACACGGTGCAGTTTGTAGGACCTACGGTGATCAAGTACATCGTCGCGTTCCTGTGCAGTCGTTTTCGCTGAGTACTTTTTCCTGCGCTTTGAAACAGGCATGCGCTTTCGATCGGCGGTCGTTACGGCTGTGTGCGACAAATCGCTCGTACTGTCGGCCTATTACCGAGCCAAGACGTTTACGGGCGAGATCACGATCCTCATGAGCATCGACGGCGAACGCCTCATAGGTGCACTAAATGCGCGCAGTGTTGCCCCTTTGAAATAACTTTAAAAGTATAACATTCTCCGGAGTACACGTTATGTACTATTGCGCATAATTTTCATGGCCACGCGAGCCTTTGAATGTACGAGGTCGTAAAATGACTACTACGTACTAACGTTATTTTAAATACTTTTCCAACCTTTTTTACTACTTCAAGTACGTAGTACTTACTACGTAGTACTGTACTGTTTGAGTACTACTATCAATAGTACTACGTAGTACGTACTAGAAGTGCAACTACGAAGTACAGTGTACCAATACTACGTACTGTATTGTGCTTTGCACCTTTTTTGGCAATACCAGGGTTAAATTTATTGTTTAAAATTTTCTTGGCTTAACAATAAATAACTACAGTGACTTGAATAACGGTTGTGTGCTTTGTTTAACACTAAAGTATCTTCATCTAATGCGATGATTGGTTGGTTGAAGGTGGTTTTAGATATAATTTATGAGATTATATGCACTATCTGGGTTTACGAAATATCGTGTTTCGTATCTCAAATGGTATCCGGCAGATATATTTCGAAAAACATATATATTTCCCCACCATAACCACAGTTTTTAAAAATTCGACTGGATAGTCCCATCCAATGGCCTATCAGTTTCCTACTTTTTTACCTCTTTTTCTGCGATATTTAAGCAACTCACTATACCAAAAGTAGAAAAAAAAGAGGTACATGAATTTTGATTGGCTCATGCTATTAATAGTATAGACTGGGCATAATTTGTTAGGGTACATTTCAAAAATAATATTCCATTTTCTCGCAAAATGGGATTAACGAAAATGTCATTTTCAAAATGGAGGTAAAAGGTCCATTTTGTAATGTGGCGTTTTGGACCTAGCCCTAAAATGGCGCTTTGGGCCTGAATATTGCAATATTTTCGGTTACCAGACGAACCCTAAAACTAAGCCAATCACTGAGCCCCAAATTGGAAAAGCACCAATCTTGTACGAGTACTTGTAGCCATACAACACCCAAGGTTAAAATAATACGTCAACAATTGGCACACCATTTTATAGAGGTATGATTTATTCATATATGATGAGCTGTTTCAGCTCAATTATGCGAAATTCATCGCATGTGGATAATAAAATTGTCTACAAATTAACGTAGAATGCCAATTGTTGCAATACAACTTTTTTTGTTTTTCGGAGAATGGCCATAATTCCTGATTGAGGCACCCTTTTTGGATCCTGAAAAGTCCTAAATTGTAGACAATTTTCAGGGCAATCCACAATTATATGAATATTGTGGCCTCCAGGCCAAATTTGAAGACATTTACAAGGTCGACGTCGTGTCATTTTTGGCCACGGCTACGAGTGGTCCGACTACGTGTACCAGAACAAGGTCAACTAAGAGACGTGGGGGGTCGGTGTACATCACGATGGTCGCGGTCACGTCGGCAGTGAAATCCACTGCATCCCCGCCTGGCATAGGTAAATGACCCGCTAGAGTTCGGTGCGTTGCGAATCATCGCCACGCGTGAAAGATGTACCATGGTAAGGGTTGTGGTACACGAACGCTAACAACACGGCCGTTATTTATGTTTGCAAGCTCCAGATACCATGTAAACACAATAATGGCCATAACAATATCGTGGGATATTCAAGGTGGGGAAGTTACTGTAGACCAAGACTGGATTGATTTGGCAGTACTCTAAGTTAGCAAGAAGTGTTGTCCGGTCTACCAATATAACGATTGCTGTCGAGTACTCGTAGCACATGGTGCGTTGTCTGCGCTTGGGAATTCCATAACGCGTCTATATTCTATACGAATAGACGCTGTACTGTATTCTAGACTCCAGAATAGTAGCTGGAATACAGTAGTGGTCCGAAATCGAACTTAACAGTAAATATCTTCATTTGTTGCGGTGCAGAGAAGCATGCATAGTACGGCCATTGAAGCCAAGTAGAATTACTAGCTTCTACTCTTTGACGGCTAGTACAGTACCGTTGAGAGCACTTGATTACTTACACAACCACGACAAACGACGCAGACACGCCTTCGTACGGGACCAACACACCAAACCACGACTTGGCAAACCCACGATGGCGAAATCTGTACACGCCTGGCCGTGCACTTCGAAGCACCCACTCGCATTCGCTTGTGCTTTCGGAGATGCCCACGCGAGCCCATCGGAACCGAACGTCCCAGTGCGCGTCCGTCAAGTACGTGGCAAACCCTTTCGTGACTGGGTCTAGTTTCTCGACGTCACAGAACGATGCCACGTGTTGAAAGTTGTTTTTCGGGTGTGCACCCACAAAAGAGGCTTTCACGCTGGTGTTTGAGATGTGATAGGTTGCCTGTCTTACATTCGAACGGATGGATCCAAACGGCCAGCCGATGGGATGGGTGTCCAGCACGACTCCCGTTTGCAACGTCACGAGCTTGGAACGGTCGAAAGAGCGCGGTCGCGGGCCTGAGGCCAACGGGATTGAGGGGTTGGCCACAGATTTCGCCACGCGAGCCAGCTCTTGCTGCACGGCGACCAGCTGGTTCGGCCCAAAAAGGGTGGACGCGCCTTCGTAGTGCTGCACCAAGTATTCTTCCTTGGTCGTCAAGTACTGCGCATACCCGTTGCTCACTGCGGCAATGGCCACTTGGGAGACGGACCCCCCCAGCGCCGACATAATCGACTGGCGAATACGACGCCCGGCCATGGTCGTCACTTCGAACGGCACACTGGCCAAGGCAATCTGTCCGATTTTAACCACTTGCACGGGTAATACCTCTGGAGACCATGGCACCGGCGACATGAGGCCCGTCGCCAACAGCGGTACTTTGTTCCTGTGCTGGCAGGTTTTCACCCACTTGGGTGTGGGCCTGATGGCAAACGACACCAACTGGAAGAACGGGTTGGCCTTCAAGTTGCCTTCCATGAACTGGTCCAGCCCACGTCCGTCCTCCGAGCCGGCGCCAAAGTTCTGACCTAGCACCGCAGGGCATGTTCGATGGGCATACGGTGCATCCACTGAAGGCTCGACGTCGGTCAACGTGACGTTGGAGAAGTCCACGTACGACAACTTGCCCACGACAGACCCAACCAACTTGACACTTGGGCTCGCCAGCAACTCCAACAGTTTGTTGGCTTGGCGCGTTCCAATGATTTCGGCGCTTTCAATAGGCGTCCGCCCTTCGCCACGAAACGTGCCGTTGCCGTTGTCGACGCGGTTGGGACTCACGTCTCCCGCATTCGACATCCCCAGCCCCACGACCACTTTGTTCTTGTAGTGGGACTCGGCTAGAAACATGGCGTAGCCCTTGTTGTCCCCGCTCACCAACGTGTTCTTTACAGTCAAACTTGTGGGATGGACGGGGTAGGTTGCCCACACCCCTCGCAACCGACCAGTTTTGGCGTCCTTGAACTTCAACACTTGCATGGTGTGGTCGCGGTCGTCGGTGTATTGAGCGCGCTCGGCGGCTGGGTTTGCATCATACGCAAGTGGTGATCGATTGCGGCCGCCATCCGGAAGGTGTCCTTGGTTGAAACGAATAGTGCCGGGGGCGAGACTACGGTGCGCCGCGTCAATGGCTGCCAAGATGCCATCCACTATAGCCCGGAACGATTCGTCAATGTAGCCCAAGATGGACACATCGTACAGAAAGTAGGCGGAGGATCCCCCCGGCGTGGCATGGGTGTGGGTGGCATGCAAGAGAACGTTCTGCTCCGTGTACATTGAGCCATATTTGGTTTGCAATCGCGTCAGCACCTCGGTGTGTACCAGCTGAAACACTGCAAAGGCGTCGCAGTTGACTAGAAGGATGCGGCTGTTGGTCGAGTCGTCCTGCACGACAAAGGCTCGGGCGAACTGCCTGTTCAAGAGGCCGCTGCCCTTTTCGTTCGAGTCTGCAAACCCTGCAAACACCACTTCGGCAGTCGGACCCGTGATATCGGCCTTGCCTATGCCAATTAGATACCTCGCCCGAGCAAAGGTAGCAGCAATAACGAGACAGACAAACGACAAGGTTCGGATCATGGTTGCTCGTGAAGTGCAAGATTTCGCAATGTGATGACGGCTAGTGCAAATTGCATTTTATTGAGCCAGGCTTGTACTTCAGTACATTTAGCCGTGGATACACTTCATTACATAGTCAAGGAAACAAAGAAGTGACGATATGTCGAGTAAACCAACATCAAGGTATTCATTTATCACATTGCCTGTAACGTTACAGAATTGTTGAAGCTTCGTCTTGTGCTACTGTAAGTATCAATACTTACAGTTATTTGAAATACACTAACTTGGAATACTCAGTGCGTCTATATAAATCTCAATTCGTAGTCAAGCCGGTGATGACATGGTTTCGATAGTTTGGTATCACAACATCAATTGCAAGCTGGGCAGATTAATAGCTTTAAACTGTACTCTGAATGTTGGCATACTGTAATGTACCTTCACCACATCCGTCATTGAAACAAGTCCCATCAGTCGCATTTCTATCTCCAAACTGTGGTGTTTGGATCGAGTTAGATCACCATACACAATACAGCCAATAGAAATGCTTAGCAGCATGACGTGCGTCGTGCAAATTCGATTTATATCATGTAAAATTCAAATATATTGATATTTGTATCGTGGGGTTCTTAATTGCAAGACCTCTATTTGGCGAGGGTGATGCTGTCCAGTGCTCGCTCTTGTCTTAGTGTCCGTAAATCCGAGTTTTTCGCGATTTAGTGCGCCTGGAACCCATAAAAGTTCCAAAAATTATGTCGTACTACGTAGTAATTTTCTTGAGCATCGGGTGTTTTGTCGCAGAAACAAAATGGACCGATTTGGTCCAACTTTTTTATGGAGACGTTGAAGTCTTGCACTTCACAATCAGAAATCGAATAATCTTTTCTCATATAGGCAATTCAGCTGGCATCCAGACAATTTTGTAGACATTTCTTTTCTCCGCTTTTCATGGGATGTGAGAGTTCGGGAAATCTTTGCAGACTTGCCAACACGGTTTATGGCATACTCCGAGTACTATTTATCAGGGGGGATCCAGACCAGCTGGGTTGGTTATTACAGTACTGTACTACGTAGTAATACCTACCATGGACAACTCAACAGTATTCGGATACCCGGTTCCGGTTATATAACCGGTTATCCGTATTTATCGACCAAATCACAATTTTGAAATGCGCACCAACGGACACCGATCGCAATGCGATACTGCTGCATCAGCTGCTTCGCAGCAACAAGCTTCCTCGTGGTGCTCATGCTGGGGTGGCTGCGATCTTCATCTTCGCAAGAAGCACAGTAACGTTACTGAGCATATGGAAGCGTGCTTCAGTAGACCTCACACACACGACGCTACCGTGTCATGACGTCAGGTCACCCAAGAAAGAATGCTTTGGCCGCAATCTGAAACACGAATCAGTTGCAATGCGCCTGCAAGCGGTGCCAAAAGAGCGCCGAACGACCTTTCGGTCTATTACTGCAGCCAAGGTAAGACTCATGTAACATGAGTATTAACGATCGTCAAGTACTCGAGCACAGTCAAACCGCCGCTCTTGACCAAAGCGAACAAGCCCGTTCGAGTGAAGTGGGCCATGGACTTTGTTCAATCGGTGCAGCCAATCAACTTTGTATTCGACGCAATGCTTGACTACGTCCACGTGGATGAGAAATGCTACTTGGCGACTCGACATTCTTCGTTGCGCCAAACGATGAGCCACCCCACCTCGCGTGTCCGTCCAAGCGATACATCATGAAGGTCCGTGGCGAGGCCCCGTTGGGACTATAATAAGGTCAAGTGGTTCGATGGAAAAATCGTCGCATGCACTTCATCCAATAAGTTTCGGCAGCGCGGGGAAGTCACAATCGTCCTGCCGATACGCTCGTTCGCCCCCACTAGGCAATGAATATGGTAAAATTGTAGTGCAATTCGGTCGTGATTGTCATGGGGCAGTCATAACCCGCTCGACGGAAGACTTGGTTCTTGCTCTCTGTGATCACAATGGACGCGAGGACGTCGTCGGAAAACGGCTCGAACGCATCCCGCTCATTTTAGAGATTTTACGCCACGGCGCCTCACGCCTTTTGAGCGACTTCTGAGAGCTTGGCAGCAATGAGTTCCGCGACGTGTGCCTACACAGCAAACATTAACCATCGTCAGCAAGTGAAGGGACGCTGCTGCGATGACGTACGATCATCTTGAAGAGGCAACTAGCAACGCTCGTCGTGGACACACCGCCATGAGTACTGTTGAAAGCGGTGCCATGGACGCTTTGTACACTGGCCAACTCTTGGAGTTGCAGCCTCCATGAGACCGGGGACTTCACTTGCTGCGCCTGGAGGAGTCGATATGCCTGCATTGGACAGCAGACGTGAGAGGTGACTAACTTGATTGGCTTCCGCAGTAATTTCCCGAACACAAGGATGCCAATGAACACGACTTCCATACTTAAGCGACTCGATCAGAGTGCTACAGACCATTATTCTTTGAAGACAGTCACTTCATATACTAGTACTAAAGTTAGTACGGATCCGATCGCAGACGTTGCTAGCAACAATCGGCATACCATAGTGCAGAAGTGCTACATCTGTCAATGTAAACGTCGATACAGACCATGTGTACTTGGATTTTGTAAGAATTAGAAATTTGAGGATATACAACCACGCTTTTAATTCAACAATTATATTATATTAACCATAGTATCCAAGGTTGGTATTAATATTCAATGCTGTCCCGTAAGTCTTAAGTACTAACGTTAACGTAGATGGCCAGTTTATGGTGCACTTGAAAGAGACTTCGTCGTAGAATGCAGCTTACTCGTCTCCCAGGACCGGGATTTCAATTCTGAAAAGTGCTGCATGAAGCCGAAAGGTTGGGCATTCTTCTCATTATTTAATCGGCTTGAATAGGCTTCAGCTTAGCGTTCATTTACTTTGATTCCACTCAAGTCAAGGCAAAATAGGAAGGACAGTTTATGGTGCACGGTGTAAGCTTAAAATATGTGTGCTGGTTTTGCATATTTATTAGTGATTTCATTTTTCTAGTGATTCAATTGTCTACTCCAAAACTAAAGCAATTCCATTGGCCAATTTGAGTGCCCCCTTAAACTGTCCCGTGCACCATAAATCTACGTTAGTACTCGGTAGTACTACGTAGTACTCCCTCCGTTCCAAAATAAGTGCGCGAATAAGAAAAGTGATGTACGCCTCCTCGAATAAAACTACACAAACTCTAAGATCAAATACTTCAGAATGCATTTATACAGGTGTAACGATACACTTGTCCAATCATATCATGCGAAACCATTGTCTCAGGACCAATCAAATCACGTTTTCAAGCAATTCTGACATTCAACTCGGGAGGGGGGTTTACCTCAGGAACCCTCCTAACGAGCACAGGGACCATCCGCAATACCAACATGCATACATGTAGGAGCGCTTACTCGTCATCTTCCACACTAATTGGGTCGATGCCTATTTCAGCCATGGCAGAGATCATGTCGTGCCGATGGCCTCGCGCTCTTCGTTGGTAAGGTTGCGCCTTTCGGCTGTCATTTTGCGAATGATGGTAGTTGCAATTGTATGTTTTATATGAAAATTTGTATGCAACTTTTGCACGCGGGCAATGGCCTCAGTACTTGAGATATCCCGCTCATTGTCACAGCAACAGAGAGCTCTGAGTGTCCTCTCTCCAATGAGCCAATCAAAGTTGAGTATTTCGAATTCCAATGGGCGACACCACGTTTCCAATTTACCTTGTGAATTTAATGATGTGTCATGTCCCCCCTCCCAAACTCGCGCACGTATTTTGGAACGGAGGGAGTATGAATTAACATCCTTGGGCCATTTTATGTACAGTACCTCTAAGGCGAACAAGTATATTTTGACGTACATCTAAGTCGTATTTAAGAGATTATATATTGAGCTAAATAAGGACAGAACAGAATCGCCCCTCCTCATGTCGCTCAATAAAATTTCTTGAACATTTTTTCTCTTGATTTACGTGTAAGGGTTCGTCTGGTAACCGCCGAAATTTGTCATTTCGAATGCTTTTTATTTTGGTAAGGATTTTCCCATTTTTCGACCATTTGCCATTTCGAAAAAGTTTGTTGGCACTTCTGGCAATACTTGATACTTTGAAAACATTTTACCATTTCGTCTGAAATATGTCAAAACAAAAACATAGGTCGAGAGGTCCATTTTGAAAGCGCAACTCCATTTCACAACAGTATTTTGCGTGCGCGAATGAAGATTTCCACAATCTTGGTTGGATGCGCAGCGTGGTGGACAGTCAACCACCTCAACGCTGCTGTGACCTCAACCCAGGCTTCCTTCTTGTAGCCCGACTCTGATCGCTTTCCTTTGACAACCCGGCTTGCAATGACGTCACGAGAAACTCGTCGCGCTCATTGCTCCATGATGCTCTTGCGTCAACATGAATCTGCGTGCGTTACTTTGTATCCCCAAGTGAATGAATATGCATTTATAGAGGCAATTTTACACTGTGCTTGAGTATGAACATGAAATATGTCTATTACTTCCTCTGTTCCATAAAAGTGGAGACCTTTTGGTCAAAAGTACCATTCTATAAATTCAACAGAATTGTCTGAAAATTGGCTCAAATGTAGCCAATGAAAGGACGAGTAAGCAGCTATTTTTAGATTTATTTTATTGCTTCAAACCGCTTCACAACAGTTCGTCAAGGTCAAAAGTTGATGACAGCAAATCTACAAACACCCGTGGATGAGGCATTTCTTCTCCAATCGAGTCGAATGCGAGCGCAAACGATTCGTCTCGTTGCCTAGATGTCGCTAGCACTCATCAGCGTTGCATTTGCATTGCTGGAGAAGGAGTTACATAAAAAAAGACCACGAGGTGGTGGCCTGTGTCCTGGCCATTTGTATTCCGAGTGTGAACATTTTCCCATTTTCGCGCGCAGAACGCACCCTGCTACCCGTTCTAAGTGCGCGTGATGTACACGGCGCACTCCACAACAACTAACTACTGGAACAAGTTATGATGCTCGTCTGATCGAGCAGGTGGAGTGCCTGATCGGCCGGAACATTGTGGTCGGACATGCACAAACCGAGTATTGATGATGCAAACGTTACCGCCGTCGAGGAAGCGCTAGTTGACGGCCATTGATTCCAGCAGGCGCTTCCTCCTGGGCCGTATCGTTTGCATTATCAGTACTCGTTGGGTGAATGCCCGGACCTCGATTGCTGATGGTGAGCATGGTGCGGCCCTGGAGGAAGTGCTGGCTGCCGGCCAGGAACTCCAGCAGGTGCTTCATCCAAGACCGCACCAAGCGCACCATCGGCACTCATGGTGCATGTCCTTCCTTGAAAGGTGTCGACTGCTTCAATGTCGACTTCACTCGACTCGTGCTGGCACTTGGCACTGCAGCAGGTCATGACCGATCTCGTCGTAAACACTTGTTTTTGAATAAAAATACACATTTCTGTGAAATCGGGTATACAAATAGTAAGATAAAAATTTGCCCAAACACAATGGTCTCCACCTTTACGGAACAGAGGAGTAAAGGGTTCTGTTATGCCCTGTCAATACGATTTTTTTGCCCCACTGCAACTCGGCAAAAAACTGTAAAATACCTGGTTTTTAACGTTTTCACAAATCCACCAACATCTTCGCACTCAAAATGTCAGATTGTCTAAAACAATTGCCAGACTGTAGTAAACAGGTTTCAGACAAATGAGTCCATTCGTAAGTCTTAGGCGTACGGTACGTCTAAGACGCATTTTGGTCCCAGGGGAGTTAAATTGAATATTATTTGAGTCATGAATGTCGTTCCTGATCAAAAGTTTGGTTTTGAGCATTTACGCCTCACTTTAGAATTCACCAATAGGGAACAAGATATCAGCAAGTATGTCGTGGACGAAATAACGTTGCAACTCGTCAAAAGCTTTTATACATTCGATATATCTGACTTCTGTGACGACAACTGCATTATTTAGGATATTTATCACGTTTTGACTCGGTGACCTATTGATCACAAAAAGGCGGGTTCACGAATGCGATTAAGTAGTGGCCCACTGACAGTATCTATCTATCTACTCATGGTCAAAATAGTAGTTTCATAAGATCCCAGGAGGCTTCTGGAAATGCGAAATCCTGTTTCGCCGGGGCATAACTCTCAAAACGCAATATAATTTTGAATGAAAAGTTAGACAAGTCTTAATTTATAATGAATATAAAATATTTTCGAAACGTAAACTGAAAATTCAATACTTTGACCTAAAAACAACCTACCTAAACTTTGTCCAAATCCTTTTAATTTTTTTGTCCATAGACCTCTCATGACACATCAAATTTTCAGTCAACGAATATGTAATCAGATTCATGAACTTCGAGTTGGTTCACGTGAAATCACACCTCGAACATTGAAGTTTCGTCGATTTCATCTACCTTCAACCTAATATAACCCAACCTAAACATCCTTGAATTTCATATCGCTTTGGCTCGCATAACAGAGCGCAACGTTGAGATTACGGTCCTAGGTTGTGGAATGAAAATGCGTTATAATAGAGTCAAAATTTACCACGAAAGTGCATCGTGTCAGTTTGCAAAATGTAAATACCTGTTTACAATTGTTAACTGCCAAAAGTATTCTATTTGCGTTTCGAATTTCAACCTGTCGAACTTAATACGTTTACACCGGATTTCGCGAAGTAACTAACTTCTTCACGTTTGTTTGCGTGAATCACTCTATTTTTGGATCTCAAGTTCGAAAAGTTGTCCTTCTCCGAATTTACTGTTACCGTTAACAGTAAATTCGGCGAAGGACTACTACACTGTATTCACGTTGTCAGCAGTTTCCGAACTCCGAATTTACTGTTATCGTAAAGAGTAAATTCAGAGGACTATTTCACTGTACCACTAGTATTGACAGGAGCTTTCCGACTTGAGATAAAAATTAGAGAATTATCAACCAAAAGGAACAGGTGGACTAACAGTAAATCCTCGTAGCGTTGCCACCGTAAAAAGTATAACATTCTCCGGAGTACACGTTATGTATTGCGCATACTTTCATGGCCACGCGAGCCTTTGAATGTACGAGGTCGTAAAATGTCTAGTACGTACTAACGTTAGTTTAAATATTTTTCCAACCTTTTTTACTACGTAGTACTGTACTGTATGAGTACTACTATCAATAGTACTAGTACGTATTACTGTAGTAGTGTACCAATAAATACTACGTATTGTGCGTTGCACCTTTTTTGGCAATTCCAGGGTTAAATTTATTGTTTAAAAATTTCTCAGGCTCAAAAAACGTCTAAAGTAACTTGAATAACGGTTGTGTGCATTGTTTAACAGTAAAGTACCTTCATCGAATGCTGATGATTGGTTGGTTGAAGGTGGTTTTGCAGGCACTTTCGTAAAACAAGTTGTTTACTGTTTTCATTCTGGCAAACAACTTGTTTTACGTCAACACGTCAAGGTGCTTGTCGCAATGGGACTGAAGCAGCTATGGCCACATACATGACCTCGCATCCCTGAACATTAATTACTCCGAGAGTAATTTAGAACGTTAGGGATATAGTTAGCTAGTCGTCACTCTGTCCAATGATTCAAAGCTATGCCTACCTACAACACTTGATCTGTACTAACGTTAGTACTGTACGTGGAAAGCAAGGGCGCACTACAACTACACGACCTAATACGTAATGCATCGTGATGAACGGGTGGTTGCACTGCGTAAATTGGCCTGGTACTGTAACTCGATTAGTCAGCGGCTGAAATAAGGTAAGGGTTGTTTTATTCTGCTGAAATGCAGAACTTGGGTTCGAGATTCTATTAATAACGTTAACGTTAGGTATTTAGATTGCGTGCGAGATTTTATTCACAACATTAGGAGATTGCGTGTGTTGTGACGTTAATATGCGTGATTTACTGTTAAGCGGTTTCACCATACCTATGAAACCCCTGGGGGCATAGATATCCTTTGAGATTTGTCATTTTCGATTTGGACGAATGGTATTATGAAGGACTCTAGATCGGGTGATCTGACGTTGCGCCGTAGGAGAACCCGAACTTGTGGTGTGCTGCTTACAACGGCAAAATTGAAGATGTTCGAAAGTACCTAGCTCTAGGTGCTGATGTCAACAAGAAGGACGCGGTAAGACCATGTTGCACAGACATCCCAACGTCATATCATCGCAAACAGGGTGTGCTGTGTGTGGCGGCTTCTGCAGGATTTTTGGAAGTTGTAAAGGAGCTGATTCAATGCGGCGCCGACGTGGACTTGGCTGACAATGTAAAGTTGAAATACTACATTCTATTGTCTTATTCATTATTAATGTAGAATGCCTACTCTCCGCTCTATGCTGCGACATTGACAGGGCATTTGCACGTTGTCCAAGAGCTCGTTGACAATGGCGCCAATATCGACGCACCATCAACTCAGGTATGCGATGCATTTTTGTGTGCATTTTCATTCAGAAGTTCCTGACTAGGTTCGATGTACCCCGCTACATCAAGCCGTGGAAAAGAATCATCTCGACATCATCCAAGCCTTGATCGACAATGGAGCTGATGTCAACGCCAAGGATGCTGTATGATATACTACCTCACTACATGAATTCAACTGACTCAGTCGTAGATATATCAAACCCCACTCATCATTGCGTCCAGCGACGGCAACTTGGTCGCCGTCCAGATGTTACTGCTTGCAGGCGCAGATACCACGATCGGGGATGGGGTTTGTAATGGACGTTCTATTTCCACAGATTTCAATGCTGTCTATTCGAATAGGGTAACAGAACAGCCCGATCCATCGCTGTAGACAAAAAGCACGGCGATGTTGTCAAAGCGTTGGACGAGAGTGCCAAGAACCCCCATATTCAGCTCAAGCCTGTGACGGACGACGTGAAACTCGAACGCGCTGCCGCCAAACTCCGCTACAGTACGTCTATCTTATGTAAAATTTAAGTCGTTAACTTAACTCGATGCTGTAGGAAGTGTATGCGGCTTCTAAAACCGCCACGGTGCCATTGACAACATTTTACGAAGACATTGCAGCAAATGCTAGTGGAGAGGCTAAACGCAAACCCAAACCCAAACAATCGGAAGTAAAAGCTCAGGTAAGAAACTCTTAGCGCGTTTGCTACAAACAACCAACTTTGGAGTTCACGCAACAGAATATGTTGTTTTAGAGTGCCTACGTTGAAAGCGAAGCCCATGCAGCCCAGGCAAATATTGTTTTTGCAAGGGCGATTGAAATAGAAGAAAATTCGGCCAAAATTGTACGTTCACCTCCCAGCCATCCATTTTGCCTCGTCTTACATAGCTTTCGTAGCAATCGAGGGTCAAGGACTTTAGTGCCAATGCTGAGGTTAGGGACTTTTGTACCATGTGTTTCTGGTTCATGCTTGAAATAGAGCACTATGGCATCGCTTCAATCTAGTTTGACAGGGAACGAAGTGGCAGCTAACAAGGTCCAACCTATGGAATTCAGCTATTTGTCACTTAAATTCGATGTAGACTGAAGTGGCGTCACTGCCCCTACACCCACCCGCCACCACTGTCCTCCCACCCTCTCCTCCGCCTGCCACGTCATCGTCTCCGTTTGGCGCCGACATGTTTTTGAAACTGGCGGCCCATCCGTCCACGGCCCACCTCGTGACGCTGCCGGACCTGGTCCTGGTCTTGCTGGACCTGCAGCACAACCCCAGCCAACTCTTCATGCACGTAGGAGACATCCGCGTCACGCAAGCGCTCCAGGTCCTCGGTACGCCTTTGCCCGAAGAAACGGTTTCGAACGCGTTCGGAACGACCATGATCCAGACTCTGGCGACCAACGCTGCCACATGCGGCCTCGTGTGCGACGCCAAGGGCCTCCAGAACCTCATTGCTATTCAGCAGAATCCGCTGACAGTCAACCAATACATGACCGACCCACGCATCGCCCAGGCACTGACTGTGCTTTTCCAGACGTCTTCTACCCCTCTACAGAACAGCTCAGCACCAACTGAACCAGCTGTGGCCTCCTCCAACGTAGTAGTAGAACCATCCAACGACAACCTGCCCGCCATCACAACCCTCAGCCAACTCACGGCCCAGTTGCGTTCGGGTACTCATGGCAACGGTATATTTCCTCTTACTATATGACCAACTAGATCCGTTAAAGCAGTGGCCACTCACTGGCAAGTACTTGGTGTGCGGCCAAGTGTTGGGGGAGAGCAACCACTGCGTGTTCAAAGCCATCAATAAGAAGCGGCCGAGCGACGATCTGGTGGTGAAACTGACGCAGCAGGTGAACGAGGTCGAGTTCTTCAACTGGCTCAACCGCCAGCCAGGACAAGGAGGACGTGGTCAAGCTCAGTCAGCGGGTGGTCGTGTGCGAGGAGTGGGGGGCCGTGGACGTGCTGGGGTTCCAGTGCCAGGCGTTAATCATGGAGAAGGGCCAGTACAGCGTCGGCGACCAGCTGCGGCACCTCCAGGGGCACCAGTACCCCCGGTACCGCTGCCTTGAAGACATCCTCGACGCCGTCGTGACGCTGCACCAGCTTCAGTACGTCCACTGCGACCTCAAGCCCGAAAACGTTGTCTTTTTCGGCGATTCGGACGGGTACAAACTGGTGGACTTCGACAACGCCAGGCCAGCCCGGACTCCTTTGACGAAGAACTGCACCGAGCAGTACTGCCCGCCCGAGATGGCCCACTTCATGCTCGGGCACACGACAGACCCGCCCGTCGCGACGACAAAATACGACGTCTGGTGCACCGCGGTATTGGTGCTCAAGCTGTTTTCCAAGCCGGGGGCTAGTTTGATCGAGTTCAACGACGGGGTGCCGCTGCTGGACACCATTGCGTCCCCCATGTTCTCGTTCGCAGAGAGCGTTAGCCTGACGCAGCTGAGCTCGGACAGACAGAAGTCTCTGCTCAAGTGTCTGCACATCGACCCGAAACAGAGGGGGTCGCTGCAGGACCTCGTGGATTTGCTTCCGGACACGTCCACGAAGAAGGGCGGCATGACCCGAATGTGCAACAAACTGGAAGAGTTGACGGTCAAAGTCGAGAACAACTTGAGCATCAGCACGGAGACGCTCCATGTGTCGAAAGCCACCTATGCCAAGGTGGTCGACATGAAGAGGGACCTCATGAAGGGCATGTTCGAAGCCACCGAAGTGACCGTTCCCACGTCGTTTATCATTCTGCCCTTCAATATCCAAACCCAACCAAAGCTAACCAGTCAACCAAAAGACTTGGCCGAACAAGCCACGGGCTTCTTCCACAGACTCCAAACCGTGGGCTCCACCATCCTCAAGGCCATCCAAGACAACAATCCGCTGAGTGCCACCAAAGCCGCACTAGACGCGTTCTCCAAGGGCCAGCCCATGTACTTTTACCTGCTGGACGACGTCACGGGGTTGCCGGTCGAAGACGAGACGGGGGTCTATCCGATTCAGATCACCACCACGACAGACCAGTACACCAAGTTCATGGCCACCAACATGCCGTTGTTCCAGCGCGGCTTGAAACTGCTCCAAATGGCCAACTCGGCCGCGGGTTTCTTCAAGGCGCTGGGGATTCCGAGCTTGGGAGAGGCTACCATGGCGAATATCGAGGGGCTGCTGGAAGTGCCCGGGAGCTCCGTCTCGGACTTCAACGTCGTGCAAAGAGCCCTGGACGACAAGACCGAGGTCAAGGCGCCGAGGGGGCCTGCGCTTCGGGAACTGGAGAGGTTCTTCCACGACAAAGACGAAGCGAAGTCCTTTGCAGGGCTCTCTAGAGTGCCGACAGACTCGGGGTTGGCCACGTGGACCCGGTTGTAGAAGGCTATCCCTTCTGGTTCATTTTGCATAATACTTCTTACCAGTAAGGTATATTACTAGTAATCGACAAACAACTTGTATTTGGGTATATGGAGTAGGAGCAGAATTTGACGCCTCAGTACCTCGTATGTGCACTGGGCGGGTGTTTTAGGCCTAAGTTCTGAAGGAATAGACCTCAACAATTGTGGCTGCGAAGGGTGTGGTCGAAACTGATCGGTTATAATTCGATTTCTCATAGATGTGAGTGCCAAACATGTCCGTACCACCGTACTTAGTCGCCTAAATTCCTGGGTTCAATACCTTGCTTGGTGAGCCCTATCGTGGACTAACGGGGATTTCCTAACGTTATCATTTTTTCGTTGTGAAAAGCGAAATTACCATACCGGTAGATTTTATTTGGGCGACACTCATTTCTTGTTTTCTGATCTTCCAGTATATGAGCATGGATTGGCTGCATTACATCAAGGTCGCCGCTATGGACTTCGTACACAAGCTGAAACTCAGTACCATGGACGATCTCCTCAAACTGCTTGAAATAGTGGTGACATCTCCTAGTCACGAACCTGCCTTCGCCTTTCACCCTGAGAGGCGAAGGCAGTAAGAATCTCACTGCGTTTTGAGTCAAAACGTCTACCGTGGACAACGGACGTGAGACTCTCACTGCCAGCGCGTACATGAGTTAAAACTTTTGACTCATCTACGCGCTGCATCAAGAGCCGTCCGTGGATGCTTGGCGACTGCTGCTCCAACAGTTTCTCTGCGTGCTGTGCGTTCTCGACACTATCGACAACAGCACCCACAGCGTCGACTCCATTTTGTTTCTTATGCATTTAATTAGTCGTCGTCGTGTCGCGGGGTTTTACGACAAGTTAATCGGTAGGCACGGCGCAGGCAAACAAGGAGACTCAAACCCAGGTGTGGAGTTCGAGGCAAAATGTAAAGTCGAGTTAGTTAAAGGTGTGGTCGTAGCTGTAGTCCTAATGCTCTAAGTTCTACTGCATTGGCGGTTGACGGTTGAGGGATCTCCGTCTCGGTAGATCTTCAACACCCGGATTTTGGGAGGTATATAAGGTCTGAGAGGTCTAGTCAGAACGGGAAAGGCAACACGCGGCCTTCAGGGAGGTCAGAGGGTCGATCAGGGCCTCGTCTGGTTACTCAGTCTCGACAGGGTCATGGACCCCGCAGTCGCACCGTGACATTCTCCCCCACTTAGGCCCGAAGCTCCGTCTCGGGCTTCAGTCAGTTCACGGGGCATACAGTCGGTGTAACTGGTCGATAGGATGGGCCAATCCTGGGGCGCCTTGAGTGGCTCTTGGTCCCAGGTCGCTTATGATTGGGCAAACCAAGTAGCCCTGGGAACACCGTTGGCCGGGATCTTCCTCAACCAGGGACAAGACAGCGGAAGGATCTGGCCCCAGGTCGTCTTCATTGCACTTTCGCATTCGCCATGTCCACGCCACCAGCTCCTGTTCCGCCGGCCGGGTCCTTCGCTCCAGCGCCAGACGCATCCAGCGCCAGACGCATCCCACTCATTTCTGGTGCGGCCAGGATCGTCGTCGGCCGCGGCAACCGGGCCGTCCACCGCACCGGCTTCATGCCCTCCTGGTCTTTCTGGTGCCAGTGCGCCGGCCGTTGAGTTGTTGTGCGCGTCGTTGACTCGGTCGGCCTCGGAGTGCGCCTTGTTGTCGGCCAGCCTGGACAGTGCTCGGGCGGCCGTCCAATCCACCCTGGTCACGGCAAGATCCCTTCTGGGTGACGGCGGTCCAGGTTTCACTCTCCGTGCCATCCAAGACTTTGTCTCGGCCAAAGAGGCCGCCGAGAAGCTCCTGGCCCGAGTGCAGGCCGATCTGATGGAG